ATTGCACAACTGTGCAGAATCTGCAATTGTGAATACGATTTTTCTAATCTTAGGCTGTCATAGTTTAATCATTATCATTTTTATCACATTAGCACATTAGCATATAAAATCGTTGAACAAATTCTCACTTTATACAAGTATCTTATAATTTTTATGTACAACTGCACTTACTCTTCAACCTTAATTTATTTCAAGCACAATTAAATTAGTATAAAGAGTTTTCATTTTTGTTTTAGCCGTTATCCGGAAAATTCAATTTTGTTTAATGTTTGAGAATATGAATGCTTATTATTATGCACATATGTACATAAAAATTTTATGTCCATATATTTACTTTTCTGACACCACATTTTATATAAAAAAATTTTTTTTTGTTTTCACATTCAGCGGAACTGTTGATTGTCCCCCAATTTAACTGTTATTTGTAGCGAGACATTTTTGTTGCTTTTTTTTCTTTTATTTTTATGATAATCACATTTTGATATGCTTTATTATTTATTTATGTATAGTTATGTAAAATATATCTATATACATACATTTTGTATCCGAATATTCATTGAAGAAAAATTGAACCCGCAATGATATCTATATAATGCAAATTAATAGGCGCGGACATATTAAACAATAAAATAATGACAAAGAAACAAATATATAATAATGAAGGGTTGGTATTGCCTACTATATGGGTAATAAAGATATGTACATACGAGTATTATGTAATTTTTTGAGTTTTAATATATAGACGCGTCCATGTTGATGTTGATTATTGCAAATCTTAAGGCTAATATGAAACCAAAAACAAATATGTAGATAAAAAGCCTAAAATCCAATAATTAACCAAAACACTAAAATATCTTCAATGATTGTGAAATTTAATCCTGTGGTTATAAGTAACAATTGTTTATCTCGAATATATACAATAAATTCAAATTCGACACAGTGGATTCTAAAATTTTTCAAAATGTGTACAATATAAACTTTGAAGTTTCTCCTAAAAATTACAGAATTTTCAAATTACATTGAAATAAAATTATTGAATTCTATATCATAAACGCTTTTACAATTAAATTATAAATTTAATAAAATTCAAAATATTAAAACAACGTGGAAAATAAACAATTACTGGGTATATTGTATTTTGTATAATGTTTTTTAGAAAAATAAAGTTGCGTTCAATTGACAATAATTTTTACCTATGTAGTTCATACTCATACAAAACTTTAAAAATAAAACAATAAAAATTAAAAACTAAAAACAACGAAAATGAGAATGATAGCAAAGGGAACTGTGATACGAAGAGAAAATATAATTTTTTTCAATTTTTTATAATGGTTACACTATGAATTTACGCTCCTTTTATATCCCATATATAATCATACTATTAATCTCTTTTGCAGCTATCATAATTATGCCCTTTAACTAATTCAAATATTATATTTTGTAAAAAAAATTCTGTAGGGGCCCGATTTATTTCACACCATTTTCTTTCGAAAAGAATGGAAATTGGTAGTTAAATTCGCTAAATTGTACTTACACTTATAAAGGACAAATATAGAGAGAATTGTAATACAATTCTCCTGCGGAGAACTGTAATACCATAAAATTCAAAAAATCAACAAATATACAATTTACTAATAGAGATTTCTCTCTAATTATATTGCCATCTCCCATCTAATATCAACTGTATTTATTATGTGTTTGCTTATGAATTTTACACTAATCACCTTATTATAAGTCATAAATAAATGTAAAATTAAAGTACTAATAAAAAATAACAAAAATTGTTTCGACATTTGGAAAATTATTCTTGAAAATTAATTTGAATAATTTTTGTAGCGTTTCCCCTTTAATTAATGAAAATCGACTTGATTAATGTTTCATACAAAGTTGAAATTATGAAACACCAGGAACGCATCTTTTGTTTCATTTCAATAATGAAGATTTTGGTTTGAACATATTAGAGTTTTTAAAATATCTCGATTACTGGCTATATATAAAAACTTAAATATTTTATTTAATTGAGAATCTCATAATTCCACCAATCTCTTAATCCAACAATATAAATTTCATAAAAAAAAAACACAAACAATGTACATAACACTTTTTTTTCCCCAAAAAAATACATGACTCATTTTGTGCAATTCAGAATTTTTTCTATATAGTTATATTTTATTAACAACGAAAACAAAAAATAACAAAAATTAATTTTATTCCCGTATTTTTCAGTTCTATTTGGATCTTCGACTGTGTTGTTATATTGTGTAATAGAAAAACCGCGAGCTTTTCCACATTAAAAATTTTAAAGTAATTTTAAAAAAAAAAAATATTTTTTTTTCTTTTTTTTTCGTATTCTATTCGTATTCTATTCATTTTCTATTTGTATTTGCAATATAACATTTTTGTAATTATTATTTTTCTATTTATTTCAATGTTTGCACATAGTTCAGTTATGTTATCATCGACTTCATATTACTGAAATAAAAATTAGATAAGAATGATAAAAAAAAAATTCGAGTAAATTCAAATATAATTGTTTTAATTTTTTTTTATTGTGTTATCTATTTAAACCTAACCTATATATAAGGGTCTAAGAACATAATGTATACATACAAACATAGAATTTATTTATATACGGGGATATTATGTAAATTAAATTATGTGAAAATATTAATTAGTTCTATATATACATACATACATATAAAGGCGCACATGAGATATAAATAATTTATAAATTCAAAATTGATAAGAATGTAAAAATTCTGTGGTTACAAGCAAAAATTGCCTAACTCGATTTTGGTAATTCTTAATTTTTATATAAATTCGAATACCGTATTTCTTAATGCATATTTATGTCAAAATTGTGTAGAGATATATGTAGAAAAAAATATAATATTTTTCTCATTTCTTAATTAGCAAAGATGAATAAGGCATAATTTTTTTTCTTAATTAATTGAAATTTTTGTATTGCTTGTTTTATATTTTACATAATTCACATATACTAAAATTTAAATTCCAAATTTTATACAAAATGGTAATAAATAAACAATTTTTTCTTTAAACCACAGAATTTTATTCAAATGTAGGTAGTTTTCAACATTACCTTAGATAAAATAATAGATAAGATGTGAAAATAGTACGTCAAGTGCGGTTGTTATACGTTCAAAGAAATTCAACAAAATATAAAAAAAAAATATTTTCTGATTCGATTAAAATTATTTAATAATTTCTATTTTAAATTGTAAAAAAGTGTGTGATTAGCTACATAAAAAATTTTTTATTAATATAAAGTAAAAAACAAATTAAATTTTAAATTATTTCTGTTGTGTTAAATGAAATTTATTCAAAACAATATTTTAAATTAAATCAGAAAATATAAGACAACATAAGTGTACCTAGTATACAAAATATTTAAATTAAAACAAGGAATTGAAATTTTGGATTTTTTTAAAAAACATAAAATTAAACAAACAATTAGTTTTATACATTAGTGTAATTTTAATTTAAATTCATAATAAATGAGGATTTGGGGTTTTGAGGGCCAAATTTTATAGTCTAAGCCAATACAAATAATCAAAATTTGAATAAACTACTTCTGCTTCTAAAAATATTCAAAAAATCGCAATAATTGAATTTTTATGTAACAATATAGTTTGTGTATTAAAAAAAAATTCATATTACAAAATGGGTAAAAAAAAGACCTAGAACAGAAGACTTACACGTTTAAGAAATTAATTTATCGGAAAAAAAATATTTAAAATTCTAATTAAATAACACAATACTTAAATTAAAAATTAACCCATTTGTAAAGGCAAATTTTCCAAAAATACACTGTAGATTAATCGCACAAAATCTAACGAAGTCTCAATGTCTAAATTATTAAAATTTTCGTATTTAATTATTAGTATATAAGTAATTTATCTTATTTTAAAGAATTTATTTTATAAATATGTAGCATACAACCATCACACAGTTAAAAATTATCTTTAAAATTTTACTTAAACCCGCATTATTATGTATACATGCATACAACGAGTGTGTATATATTTATTTTAATGTTCTAAATTTCAGTTAAATATTTTTAAAACAAAATATTTACATAATTTTTTAATGCAGACATTTTTATTAATATGAATAATTTTTTTTTATTTAGAAGCGTAAATATTTTCAGTTTTTTTAATTTTTCTTATACCCCATATATAATAATTTGTTTAAATAATAATCTGTAGATTAAATTTTATCCATGAAATTAACAAAATCGAAAAACTGAAAAAAAATTTACTCTAAATAAAATTTTATTTATATTTGAACAATAACCACATTTTTGATATTTTCACGTGATTAAAATTAGGCAGCTTAATTAAAATTGAAGTAAATCTTCTCAAACAATTCAAATTCTAATTTAAAAGAAAAAAGCCTCCATAAAATAAAATGTAAAAAAATTCATTAAACTATTAATTTTTTCTGTCATATTACTCAATGGTTCATAATTAAAAAGCTCATAATATGAATGAAACTGGTGATACCAATTTTCATTTCCATAGCTGTTAGCACGATCAGATCAGAACAAATTTTGTCTCTCTTAATTTTTTTTAAAATTTTTGGATCATTGAATTTCTTTTCTTTTGAATCTTTTACAGATTCTTGGTTAGTTCATAATATTATTCCTGAAGTACTGAATAACTATTTAAGACTTGTAATCAAAATCCTTCAATGCGAATTGTCAAAACTTCAGTTACGATAAACTTAATTTTTAAGATTATAATATTATTTTCAATATAACTTTATCTAAATGATGTTAATGTTTAAAGTTACAATGGAATAATCTAGAAAATAATTGAAAATAATCAAAAATTAAATTTTTTAAAATAAAATATATTTTTTAAACCTGCTTGTATACAATATTGAAAATCATCCCAATATTTTGTGTTCAGATACTTTTTATGCAAACTACAATAACATTATTTTATACTCTAATTTAATTTTTAATTTTTTTTTTTTAGATCCTTGTAGTTAAGTAGAAGTGCAAAGTGAAAGGGAAAAATTACAAATATATAACAAAATGTCACAATCAACGGAGGCAAACTGTGAAAATCAAGTTGCTGTTTCAGATTTACCATTAACATTTAAGGTTCGTAATATTTTTGAAATTTTAAAAGAAGAATTTGATTTAAATAATTATAAATGTTAAAATTTACATTGAAATTCTTTAAACGTAACTTATTTCTGAAATAATCCGCCACTTTATATTGAAGCAAAAATTATCACAAATAAATTGGACACGATAGCTATTGCAATTTAACTATTAGGTTCAATTGATACTGAAACCATTGTTAATCAACTAAAGTATATGTATTTGCCATTAGCAAATTTAACATTTTTTTTGTTAATGAAAGTTCAAGCTTAATCGGTCCCACAAAAAATTTTCATTCATAATCTTTTTATTATTATGTACAAATAAAATGTTGAGCAACGAATAATAAAACGACTAAAACACTATTCTTCCATTATAAAATCTATATGATTTTCATTGAATAAAAACAATGTTAATGCCATACATAATATGGTTCATTTTGACTTTCACTGTGTTAAAAGAACTACTATATTCAATTATTTATATTTATAATATTAGTATTGAAGATCAGATTTTCTATACACTTCTAAACTATAATATTCTTTTTATTTTTTTGTTTTTTGGACACGGTCCGGTTCTTCCTATGATTACAATCATAGTCAAATGTTTTGAGGGGAAATAAAAACCATATATGAGTACATATACCCTTACCTACATAAATGTACAAATTTAAGCATTTATTAAGATTTACATATATATATTTAAAATGAATAAGTAGATAGAATAGTACAAAATATAATAAAATACAAAAAAAACATCAATAGATTATATAATTAACGTCCGGGATTTTAATTAAATATATAATAGTAACAATATAGAGTAGAAGAAACTCAGTAGACCTTCACAATGAAAATTTATATAAATTACTAAAAAATTTATATTTACAATATAAAGTTTAAATTAAATATAGATTTTTAAATAAATATTAATCATAATATAATTCTAAAATATTTCTATGTATGTAATTACATTATAGGTTAAATATATTGGCAGTGAATTAGCACGAGGCTTATGGGGCATAAAATATACTCGACGACCTGTTGATATAATGGTTGGAGCGGCAAAAAATCTTCCACCAAACAAAGTATTACCACATTGTGATTTAACAGTTTCTACAAATGGTGTTGAATTACATATAACAGCACCAAAAACAAATGAAACAACATGGAATTATCCAATTGATACAATATCATATGGTGTACAAGATTTAGTTTATACAAGAGTTTTTGCAATGATCGTTGTCAAAGAAGATAAAAAAAATCCATTTGAAGTTCATGCATTTGTATGCGATAGCCGTGCAACAGCTAGACAATTAACATTTGCATTAGCTGCAGCATTTCAAGATTATTCAAGAAGAGTTAAAGAAAATTCTGACGATATAGAATCGACAGTAACCAAAAAAAGATTTGCAATTGATTTAAGAACACCTGAAGAATTACAACAATGTTTAGATGAAGAAACTGAAGCATAGAAATAATTTTTAACAGGAAAACTATCATAGTATAAAAAATTAATATAAAAATTAATAGTAATAAACTTAAAAAAAAATATTTTTTGTAAAATTTAATATTGAAAAAAGTAATTGAAAAACGAAGTTAATTAGAAATTTTAATTATTAATAAATCATCCAATAGTTGTGAATCAAAATAAATAATTAAACCATTATTTAGATTAAATGATATTTGAAGAAAACAAAATTTTAATAATATAATTTATAAATTTTTACAATAATTCTACAATAACTTAAGCAAAAAAAAATTTTTTCGAAAAACTTAATTTTCAAAAATTAAACTGGCAAACAATAATTTCTTTTTAAATAACAGTGGCAGCCGTATAACTTTAAATATAAAATATTTAATTGAACATAACATAGAATAGTTACGGCTTAATGATTAAATTATTTCAAAATACTATAGCCCCGTAGCTAGTAATTTGTGACTTGAAAACTTGGGACCATTATGTAAGTAAATATAAGTTTACGTTACTTATAAGTAGGTATTGCTGCACAACACAAAGACACTAGAAACAAAATTTCCTCTTCAGTTGTATTTGTTCTTAATCTATCATCAATCTTCAATTGCAATATGCAAGTTTAAACAATTATTTAAATATTTTGCAGACATTTTCAATCTACAATATAAAATAAATTTTTAAAAATTAAGCTTGTTCCAAATATAATTTCTAAAATATTTTATATGAATGTATATATATAATTAATGTAAAAATCAAAACTTTAATTTATTAAGTGCATCATAAGGTTTACAATATAAGAATGTTATATAATATATGTTTCAAGAATATTGTTATAAAAAAACGTATTTAAGCGAAGAAATATTAATTTTTAATTTTCATACAGCTAGATTAAAACTTAAGAAAACTTAATTTTTACTGCATAAAAGTATTAAAATATTATAAATGCAATGTTCTGTAATAATGTTAAATATAGTTTTAGGTTATAATAATAACCTTATATAAAAAATATAATAATATCTAACATTAAAGTAATTTTGGAAAAATTTGTATTCATCTTTTGTAAAAAAAAAAATGTGTGACTTAACTAGTCTTATAAGTTGAAAATATATTTTAATTATGAAAATCTATTCAATTTAATTTTTTTTATTACTAAAATTATTAGCCAACTTTGTAATAAAATAAATCCTTGAAGAATAAAATTAAAATTTGAATCCAAATTAATCATAAATATGTATGTAATTCGTTTCCTATGTTGATAACTAGCGATTTTTTACATACAAATGGGAAATAAATAATAAGGGTAACTATTGGAATTTGAAAAACATATAAATTTCTAGAAGTACAAATGGAATGAGAGTCAAATCAACAACTACAGCTAAATTACGCGTAATCTATAAAATAGAAATTAATTTAAAACCAACATTACAGTTTTTTAAAAAATATTTGTGTTTCGTTCAGTAATTTTTTTAGTTATAAATAATTTTAGAAAGCTAACCAATTCTTTTCTTTTAATAGAAATTTGAACAACTTCATTCAGCAATTAAAAATTTTCAAATCAGTATCAGTTACTGAAACAAGTAAATTAAAATTTATTTATAGGAAGCTTTGAAAATGGAAAATGTGTTTAGCGATCTTTAGTGGTATAATAAAAAAAATTGTTTGTTTCTATGGTAAGTGTAATTATTTTAAAAGAATCATTTTATTTTTTAAGAAATTTATAAAAAAGTGTCCTCTTAGTCGATTTAACTTGAGAAAAATTTTTAAATACAGCAATCAAGTTTATGAATTTGCTAATATCGTATGATAATGTTCCAATTTTTTTATTTATGTAATTTTTAAATAAATTTCCATATGTTTATAATATATTTAAGAAGATGTACAAAAACATTACATTAAAAAAATTATCAGTAATTCTTAATTTCAATATGACTTTAATTTAATATTGAAATCATCCATTCCTCTTGTCACTGATTCATTACACATTGATTTATAGAAATTGGAAAAAATTTCAAAGAAAAAATTGTCTTTGTAAAATCATAGATAATAATTAAATCAAATCAAATAACTTTTACATTTGATAATTTTTTTCAATAAAGTATCATTTTATTCAGATCTAAATTAGAAAAATAGAATACAATTTTTTTGTCTTATTTTTTAGATATTTTTTTTTTTTTTAATTTTTGTAAAACTTATATATTATTAACGTAATTTTTTTTAATATTTTTCTTCGAATTTTATTCAAGTAACAATTTTGTAATATTATATAATTTTTTCACCAAAAAAAAAAAAAAATAAGCAAGTTTAAAAAACTTTAAATAAAGTTTTAAATACAATGCGTATTTATATAATATATTACATTATTAAATAAATAGAGCCGTATCTAACTTATAAGTATCATAGAGGATGTTCAACTTACTATTTCGAATTTTTAACTTCAGTTAAGTATATACTAATATTTTTTTTTTTTAAATTTATAGAAAATTTTCTTATACCTTGTGTTCATGAAATTTCAACTGTACAAAATATTTATACTTTGTAAAATTAAATCATTTGTTAATTTTTTTTTTATTTTTCAATAAATTTTATCAATACAATCAAATTTCTATCCGAGTTTATGAAAAGTAAGCAAAATGTAATTTTAATTAATGATACTATGCTCCTTAAAAATATTCACAATACTCTAAAGGATGCCATCACATTTTAAAATAAAAGCGTGATGCATATCGCACAATTTCAAAAAGAATTATTTTTCAAGATTCGGAAATAAATGCGTTGTAACTTTATGTTTTTCATAAAATATTTTTAGTTTTTTTTTTTTACAATATTTATCACTATAATTTTATATGATTGTGATATATCGTTCGAATTTACGGCGTTAATTTAAAAAAGAAAACCATCTGCGATACTTAAAAGACTATACTTATTCAATAAGCTTTATATATGAAAAATTTAAATATATTTCTTTAATTTATATAGTTTATTTTTATTTTAATTTCTATGAAAATAATTTATATGTACCTAAGCGTATTATATACAAATTAAAAAAAATTAAATACACATACTTATTTCATTTAAAAATATATATTTATTTTTATTCAAAATGCAATAAAAAATAGAGATTTATTAAAAAAATTTAAAAAAAGGCTTAAAAAATAAATACTTTTTAGCATTCAAATATACTAAATTATTGTAAAATAATAAATTTTGATATTTTGGGTTTATAATTTTCAAACCACTGAAAATATCTTAAGCTATACAATAATTAACCTAAGTTTTCCTAAATATTGTTATTGTTAAAAATTCAATAAAATAAATTTTATAGCATGAAATAACAATTTTAGATGAAGGCTAATTTGTGGATTTATTTGTATAAATTAGAAAAAAATTAACTTGTAGAAATTCACAATTATGGAATAATTTTAAATGAAATAATTGTAAACTTCAATACAAGATTTTGTTGAATTAATAAAGTATTAAAAACGCTAATTGTTTATATTCAACAAATTTAACAAAATATTTTAATTATTGAAAAAATTTATGACAATAATTTCTAATTGCACATTTATAGTTTAATAAAGTTAAAGGTAATTTATATTTTATAATTGAAGTTTATAAGGAATTATATAACATAGGTCTTTTAAGAATAAATAAAATTTTATATGTAAGTACAAAAGTGATGTCCTTTGCTCTATGAATATTTGTGATTACATGTGTAAAGTATTTATTTTATAAAGCGAAGAAGAAAAAAAAAAACAATATGAAACTGCTTTAACTTTTAATATTGCATTGGCTTTATAAGAACACAAAATTACTAATTTATAGGTAAATTAATTAATTATGAAATATAATCACCTATAATTATACCTATTAAAAAGTTGTTTCCACAAAAACTATCAAATTATTAATTTAAAAAAGAAAATTTAAAAAAATTACATATGTATGTATCTCCAAAAATTAATTGTTTTTGTTTTTACATTACAAAAATTCAACAATAATTTTTTTTTTTATAATAAGTACAAACAAAATATTTTTGTAAATGTTTTGCTTCGTTTTTACTTTTAAAATTTAATCTTTAATTTATTAAAAATATCTAATGATTAATAACGCCTATTGTTTTTTTTTTTCATTAACAATGCTATGAAATAGGAGATTTAAATGTAGGAATAATAAAAATTGTTTTTAAATTTAAAATTATTTTTTGTTTATTATATTTATTGAATAAGTATATAAATATATTATTAAATGTATTAAATTTATATTTAATTTAATCAACTCCAGCGAACCCTTGGCTACCCTCAATGGCTTTAATTAATTTATCTTTTAATTGTAGGTATCCTTCATATGGTGGAAGGTCGAGTCTATTAAAGCTAAAAAAAAAAACCCAAAATTATAAAAAGCGAACTTATAAAGCTAAGAGAAAAATTTTTTAAATAAAATTATAAACTTACCATGTATGTGCTCTTGGATAATTATCAGGTGTTCCCCATTTTTCAATAGTAAACATCTGTGGACCATTTGAACCATATAATTCTTTAAAACCATTCATGGGTACTCGTGATGTCCCAGTAACAAATTGTAACAGTCTTGAACGCATTTCATTTGAAAATGAAAGCACAGCCTACAAAAAATTGTTGTAATAATTTCAAATTTAAATAAACTTTCTCAATATTATTAATAATAACGTTTACTTACCCTCCAGAACCATTGTATTATAATATGATTTTTGTGATAATCTCCTTTATATAATGTATTATCACGCCAATCTTTAACATCAATGTTTTGGATACCACACATAAGTAATTCTAACTCATTTTCGTCAAAAATTTTTAATAATGCTAATGGTATTATCGAACCAAAACCTTCTAAGAATGCTCCCATTTGCTCTTTAACACGTGCCACAAATCTCCATTCAATAACTAATTTAATATATTCGTCCTTATTATCATTTGTAACATTTATGTTAGCACCGTTCGTTTTTAATTCTCTTTGACTTGTATGACCAAATGTCTCCTCATCAACACAAAAAGTTAATTCTAGTTCCGTAGGATCATTCTCTTTAATCCATAATAATGAATTATAGTATTCAGTATCAACAGATTCCATATCTTTTAAATCTATCGGCTTTTGTAACATCATTTTATAAAATGGACGAATAAAGAATGCATCTAATAATTTGCCATGATAAACGGCCATTCCAGCAATCCGACCAATAAATCTAATTAAAAAATTTAAAAAGTGTTATTTACAATCATCATTAAATATTATTTTGAGTTTTTTTTATAAATATTATATTTATATATTTTTTTATAATATAAAAATTTAGAATTTAGATAAATAATAATATGGAAACTTTCATGGCCTTAGCCAATTATATAATTCACAAAACTACATAAAGGTAATTTACTGTAATACAAATTAACTATTAATTTAACGAATTTATGAAAATTTTAATTAAAAATTGTAAATATAAATTGAATCTCACTTAAAATAACTCAAATGTTCTTCGTTACATAAGCCACTAAATGGATTAATTTGCAATGTGTAATTATCCATAGCTGAGTATTCAAATAAACCATAATACGGGTTAAACATTTCCTTTGATAATAAGAAAAACCATTCTCTAGCAAGGCCACCGTAGTCTGTAAAAAAAAGAATTAATAAACAAAAACATTTTGGAATTTTTCACATAAAACTAACCTAAACCAGTTTCTCCTTCGAATTCTATCCACAATTTCGTTTTAAGTAGATCGGTTTTATTAACTGAATTTATAATTCTATACGAATCCTCTAATATTGAAATTCTTCTTATTCTAATTTCTAATTTATTAGGTACATTTGTCTGAAAAAAATTAGTAATATAAAAAAAATTCGTTTTACAAAAGCAAAATTGATGGTTACAGGTTTTCTAATTTGACCCTTAAAGTATTCATATTTTTGTTTATAATCTCTAGAATATGGTACAGCTTGCCCAGCGATATTTGGGTTTGATAATCTAGGATCTTCCCATTGCGTTGTTCTTGTATCTAAAAAGAAAGTGTAAAATATTTTATTGAAATGAGTTTTCGTCTTTTAACTTTTCGTCTTTAAAAAGCAACTTACTATGATCAATATAAAATACTCTTCCATCTGAATGAACACGCTCTTCCCAACCCTCAGGTAGAGGACCTAAATCATCTTCAACCCTCCTACTTGTCTGATTTGGCATTGGACTAGCGCGACCAGTACGTGGATCGATCCACGTCGTTTTCTTAGCCGTGTGGTCGATAAAAAATGTACGACCATTTGGAGCTACTTGCATTGACCAACCTGGTGGTAAACCATCTTCTTCACTATTATTAACCTAAAATTAACAAAATTTTTTTTTAATTTATAAAATATAAAAAATAGACTAAAAGAAACAAAAAATAAACTTGAATTAGAAATATAGAATAAAAATTACATGCGCCGAGAATAATAATTAAGCTACTTATTTACCGGTTGTTCTGGAGAAGCTTCACCATCGTTTGAATTTCTTCTTGTTGAAGCTGTAGAGTTTTCTGACCTATTACCGCTATCAGCTTGGTCATTATCTTCGGTCTTTTTTTTTTATAAATCGTGGTTTATCAAATTATGCATTTTTTAGGTCGTGATAACATTTTTGGAAAAATATGATGAATTCGTATGAAAAGATTAAAATAGAAATAAAATTAAAAATGCGTAAATGAAAAAACTCAAAACAAAATAAAAAATAAACATATTTCTAAAAATTTTAATGAGTTATTACTTAAAAATTATTTAAAAATAATATATTTAAAAGCAATGAAATTTAATTGACTGTACAATGATTGCAACGGATAGTAAAATATAATTATTAATGTCTTATGCAGCTGTTATGATGATAAAAATGATAATTGTAATTTGTATTAAATGTAACTGATGTGTAATGGTAAAAGACTGACAAAGGTTCAATGTTAAGTTTTCACAAGTCTTTGTTAAGTTTTCAATGGTATGAAATTATAAATCAAAATGATAAAAAGCTTTCAAAATAATAAATTGAAATCAAAATTTCAAACATGCAACGCTTTTCTGTTGAGCTTTTATATCTTGCATTTATTTCAAATAATATTCAATAATTATGGATAAATTTCAAGAAATTTCAATTAGGAAAATTTTTGGCCATAAACAAACGTATTATACAACGGGAATGGTTAATTATATTTACTTCATTCCCTCTAATATTTAAAATTGTGAAATTTAAGAACAATTTAATTACGATTGCAATTAAAATTCAAAATTGATTGCAAAATTTCAAAAATTACAAGTATTGTGAATAACGTTGGACACAAATGTAAAGAATATACCAGGATATATTTTCATTCAATATTTGGTAAATAAAAGAGATAGAAAAATTGGAAAAAGATGAAAATGTTAATAAATGAATTTTCTCCACGTATTTATTTTCAGATGAAAAGATTTATAATAAAAGCCATAAAAACCTCTTGTCTTAAATCATTTTGAACATTTTCGTTTAAATTTTGAAGATTTCCATTTAAAATTGTTGAATTGTTTCTAAAGGATCCCTTTAATAATGAAGTAGGTAGGGTTGGTGCAGGTGTATGTGGTCTTAATCTATTACTTCCATCGGTTTCCATCGAAGGTGTTATATTAGAACTGTGTACATACGTGCATGGTAATATAATCATATATTTAAAATAACAAAAAAAAATTAAAATAATAAAAATTAAAAGAGGTTTTCTTTTTAATGTTAGGGAGAAAAAGGGACATTTTATCAAAATAAAAAAAGAAAAAAAAAAACAAATGCAAAAGAAAAAATAATAACCTTTGTTCATCAATGGATGACAATGATCGCAGTGAACTTGAAAGCGAATTATTACCACCAGAATTATTAGCGGAATCCTTCATAAAAATAAATCAAAATAAAAATTAATAAAAAAAATAAAATTTTCAATATTTCTCGGAAAATGTTTTTGTTTTAGCGATCAAGTACATACTAAAAAATAAAAGTTTTTTCATAAGGAACGAAATACAAGATTGAATTTTAAATGCAAGGACTTATCGTTTCATTTAGTTAGTTTTTTAATATTTTATCGAATTGAAATTAGTCACATTCCTCAAATTTCAGACCAATTACCTTCTTTTTTTTTATAAAACAGCACAGAATTTTCTTCTATTTTGCTCAAAAAAATAATGTTGCAAACAATTTGAATTTAGAAAATAAATGAGTATTTTAATTTAAATCAAATAATAATAAATAACCAATTTTTAATCTATCCCTGCATTTAAAATAAAACTAGAATTAAACAAAATATCACGTGGTATGATTCGTGCACTAACAGAAACATCTAAAATTATTGTTGAAATAACAACCATCGAAACTTTTTGCATTTAACTACACTAAATTTGAACATTAAAAATCCAATTACAAATATCTTTGGTAAGTTTTTATTATTTGTATTTTCTTCAGTCTCTTCAATATCGTCATCGTCTTCATCTTCAATGTCATCTTCTTCCTCCCCCTCCTCATCTTCTCCTTCATCTATATCTTCTTCGTCATCTTCGCTACTTCCATTATTATTTCCATATTGTCTATCGTTCTCAGAATATCTTGTTCTACTTGAAACATTTCGTAATAGATCTACAGCACTATCTCTATTAATTCCTTCATCAGAACTCAAAGATTCCTAATTCAATTTTTCCCCCATTTTTTTTTTGTATTTTTAACAAGTTTTTTTAAATTATATAAATTAATTGATATTTGAATTAATCATATTAAAATATTACATGCGTCGTTAATGATATAAAATGAAAAATAAACAAGAGAGAAACAAAGGAAAATAAAACCCATTTTGACTTAAATCAATTATTCTTTAGTAATAATAATATGTTTTAGGAAAGATCATGCAAATTATATTATAATTAAATTTTAAAACAGCTAAATTTTGTTATATATGAAGCTAATAATTTGCTTGATATATGTATATTATTACCTGATTCCTTTGATTTTCGGAATCATCAGCGCTAATATGAAATCTTCTCTGAAAATCTGATGCTGCTGCCTCGACTTGTTGATTTGTGGAATGAACTCTAAAAATTTTAAAAAGATATTATTCGATTGTAATTCTTTTTTCCTTTGTTAAAGAAGCAATACAAAATTTAAATGTAATTTATTTTCAAATAAACATAATGTAAAATCTACAGGTTTCAAAATACGAAATTAGTTTAAAGAATGATTAATATTGGCAATGTTTTTTTAAAAACGTGCAATTTAAAAAAAAACCGATTATAATGAAAGAACAAAAAAACTAAAGAACTTACGAGGTCGGCCTTTCCCACTGTGTTGTTCTAGCAATATGATTTAAATAATATGTTCGACCATTTGCATCTTGTCTCTCCTCCCAACCAGGTGGTAAAGGCTCAACTGTAGAGTTATTTCCAAACGTGCTCTAAATATAAAAATTTGTAATTTAATATTTAATCCAAATATTTATTTTATATAAATAGAGTACTTACTGGAGCACTAGAAATAATCGAAACATTTTCCACATGCTCCCAATCATTATCGGTTGTAGCAGCAGGTGAATCCAAATCTCTAATATACGCATGATATATTTCTAGTGTACCTTTTATACGCGATTTTGCACTATAAATTTTTAAAAGTGTATATATTTTTATAAATATCTTGTGAAATAATTGCTACGTTAAAGAAGAACATGACTAATGATATGGTGAATTTAAAAAACAAACATAAATTAAAACATAAATTTTATAGTTGTAAACTAAGGAAAAATAAAATTAAAATAAAATTTGAACAGAACATAAAAGACAAACACAAATGTTAAAAAATTAAAAAAAACTAAATGGATTAATCTATACACAAACAGCAGTTTTACAGTTTAGTAAAAACAAAATATAATATTAATTTATTACCAGAAAGCTCGAAGAGCAAGCATTTTTATATTATTTTCTAACTATAATAATTTTTTCATTTAGTATTAAAATTACTTTTTAAAAATAAAACTGAAATTGATTTTACATAATTCACTAAAAAAAAATACTAAAAAATAAAATTAAGAATCAAAAATGACATGATAAACATACCCTACTGACCTTCTTGGCCTTAATGGATATGATTTTGCTGGTATTTCTCTTCCATCTTGTTCTCTAGGTAAATTCGCTAATGATAATTCTACCATTCCAAGAAAATCATCACGAGTTAAACGATTTTCATCAAATACCTGAAATACTAATTTGTGTATGTTTGGTTTCACCTAAAATAAAAATTAATATAAAATATGAATATAAAATTTTAAAATAATTTGAAAATAAAAAATATTAAAAATCTGATTAATTTATTATTTAATCCATTTTAAACTTAAATTTAAATTTTATCATTTATTTTTACTCTAGATTAAAAGCTTTAGATAAAAATTCAGTTTAAAGAAATATCGTTCTTTTTTTATTTAATTTAACAATCCTTTTTTATTAGAAAATTGAAGGCCAACAATTTTATAATATTAATAATTATTAAATTTTATAACTTTTTTTTATGTAACTTGTGTAAATTAAATCAATTGACATACTGAAATATGGAAAATTATTAAAATTATTTTAGTTGTTAAAAATATGTACCCTTTCAACAGGGTAAAATATTAAATTATACATTTTTAATCAACTAATGGTGATAAAATCTATTACATTTACAACTTAATTTCATTCAATCAATTAAAATAACAAATTATTTACTATTAAAAAAATAAATTTGAATGGACAATATTCATGGTCAAACAATTCAAATATTATATCCTTGAAATATCAAATAAATCTTACTCTAAATGTATATTCTTCATTCCATACTGGATTTAGCGTCTAAAATAAACAAAAAATTAATAAATTAATAAATATAATACCTTGTTGATTAGAATAATATTTATTTTACCTTTTTTTTAGTTTTTGTAAGAACGGAATCAATGTTAATATCACCATTGATTGTATTTAGGTCAATTCTAACATAAGGATCACTATATAAAATATAAATAATAAGAGAAAATAAGAAATTGATTATTAAATAGAATTAAATAAAATATTCAGTATATTACTTAAAAAGTTCGTTCACACATTTTTATACAAAAATTATATTTATTTATCATTCATCATTTGTATATATATTTTTATTGATTAATATTACCTTGCACCAAATATATCCTTTTTAGCCAATGATTTACCAGCCAAAACTTTAATTCGAATTTGACTAACGCCTTCATCATTCTATAATAAACAAAATTAAAAGAAAATAACAAATTTAATATCAATAAATTATTGCAAGTAATAAGTAACTAATTAAATATTTATATTTGAATTATCAATAAAATGTACAAAATGTACAGAATATGTACAATTAAGTATGTTACAATTGTTTTTAAATCTACATAAAAAATATTATATACGATATTGTCGATGGTAATTACAACATATTAGGAAATTATATATATACATGGAGGTCATATTAAAATAATTTTAGTTCATTAATAATCTACTAACAATTGATAAGAGTTTATTGGCATTTTTTTAGTCAAAGTAATTTTCGGATGATTAAGTAATATTAAAATCTTTTTTTAATATGAAATTAAAAATTGAATCGGCCAAAGATAATTTTTGATTTCGAATTTAAAACATATAAGTATTACGTATTTTAAATTATTTCATTGATAAAAAATTAAATTTATCTATTGAAATGCGTTAACCTTTTCTGAACTGCACTGTGAAAATATGAATAAATAACTATTTATGAGCTTGTGAGTTTCATTAGAAAAGAGTTAATTATACGATTTTAAAAGTTCAAATATAATTAGTGAAATTAATTTTCGCTAGGTATAAAGTTCTCTAATACAAAATTTCACTTATATTCACTATCATCAATTATGTTCACGTTTTTGAACGCAAAACGTTGTAATGCAAAAAAATTGTTAATTCGATTAATTATATGAAAATAAAATTCAATTATATGAAATAAAATTCACAAAGATGCATAATTACAAATATTTTAAATTTCTTGCTTACTGATATTAATATTTCAATTTAAGATTAAAAAAATTACAATTAATAAAATTCAATTTTGAATATTGGGTAAGCATAGGTAAATGTAAATTAATTTTTCTAATTAAGTGCAAATAAATGAGTAAATATTTTACAAAATGGGCCTTTCCAAGTCTACGAGTATATACTATTAAATGGTTTGGTATTGAATAGTTTATTTCATAATGAACTGCTAAAGATACTACTCGTATAATGCTCTCCCATATGAAGTGAAGTTTGAAATTTTTAAATCAAACAAATCTACATTTTTCAAGTTTTTTTTTTTATTTTCAAATACCAGTAATATAGCTACATATATATACATTAGTTTTGTTTATTGATTGTAGAGAAAGGTAAAACTTTTTCTCTTGTATATAAGTAAATAATTCCAGTTTTAGAATTATGGTAGTGATATGAAATTCTTGAACCCATTGCAATTTTCACTTAAATTCTGTTAATTAAAAATTAAATGTAAATTTAATTTAACTCTAATTTTTAAAAATTAAATAAATTAAAATGAATCTAAACTTAAAAAAAAAACAATAAAAAAATCAGGCCGGTGGTTTAATGTAGTGAAAAACAAGTTCGTAATGCAATAAATCCCAACGTATATCTTTCTAAATAAAACAATGTACATATCGTAAAACAAATTTCGTAAATATTAAAATTAGAATAATTTTAAATATTTAAAAAAAAAATTATTTAGTATTCAAAAAGAGATTTTTGTGAAAGAAAAATGTAAAATATTAAATTGTTGGATTTGTACATTTAAATATACATATATAACTACGAGTATGTATGTTACAAGACCAAACCTTGAAAACAACCTTTACGAAAAGTTAAAAACAAAACTGTGCAAAAGTAAGAATGTGTTTTAATTTTAATTATTAAATATATTTTTATATTGAAAGTTATTAGTCAAACAAATCACGCAAATTATTCTTGTAACAAAACCCTTAACTATAAATTATTTTATACATTACTTATTTTATACTTGCTAAATTTTACTAGCAATCTTCATAGGTTGAACATTGTTTAAACATATTTGAAAAATTTAATTTTTCTATATTGCTTTAATTAATAATTTATATTTGATAAAAAAAACGCGATACTAAAATACAAAAAAATTCAATATTTTAGGAAAGTGGTGCTAAAATAATATTAAATACATACTTACTATGTATGTAAATTTTCACTTTTGAATTTTTGGTTTACTATTGGACTTTTTTTTAATATTAAAACTTTTGAAAATTTTTTATATATTTTAAGTACTTATCAAAAATATGAAAGTATTCTAAATTGTTTTGTTGCTATTATTAAGTTATTAAAACAGCACATTTATTAGACTTTATTCAAAAATTTGTTTGACTAGATGTACTTGAAAAGCATTTTATTGATTAAATTTTTTCATGCTTTTGTGGTAGCAAAAACATTATTTAGCCTCAATTAAATAACAAACTGATGATATAATAATTAAGAGTCCAGACCTAATTCTATAAATTAAAGAAATGAATGGCTTATTGCCTCTTGTTTACTTAATATTTAATCTTCCTGCAAAAATTGAATAGTTAATAATAATAAAAATCTCTTAGTCAAAGTTGCAGCTAACAAACAATTTTATAATAAATTAGAAAATCCAGATTAACTTTGAATACAACTTACAATGTTTCGAAGCTATATTTGTATTGCTGGTAACACTTCATTTACACTTTCACAAAGTAAATTTTTGCCTAAACACAAAGTAAAGTAAAAGTTATTTTCGACAAATAAGTAAGTATGAAAAAAAATTTCTTTTTAATTTTGTTTGTTGCATATATTTTTTATTTACAAGCAAAATGGTATATACATACATATGTATGTGTATGTAAGAAATAAAAAATGCTTATCATTTGCATTTATAATTCCCAAAATTCGACATTGAAATTTACAATTATCATATTTAAATAAACTATATTTTTTTTTTTAATAAATTTAACTTTAAGGTATACTGTGAACATATACGACATAATCATAGATTAAAAATACGACAAAGTTTGATGACTGTTTACATATCAAACTGAACTTATATATCAGACTTTACGTCAAAATTTTATAATTTGCTACGAAAATTAATAATCAGAATAAAAATCAGCTGATTGCTGCACAAAATTAATTGTTGTCATTTTACTTTTAAACAATCTGACAGTAAAATCAGATAAGAAATCAGATGAGAATTACTTAATTAAGAATTTTAATTTATTATTTGAAGCAGAACCTGATATCAAACAGTGTTTATATAAGCTACCTTCATCAAACTTAAATTAAACCGTAGATTTTGTTTGTACTCGTAACACCTGAACTAATATAAAAGTCTAACAATAAGGATAATTTCATATGGCATACATGTATGCATGAACATTCGATATTCTAATTATTTCTCATTACTTTTCATGAGTAGGTACAAAAACACATTCCCTAAACAATATAAGCACATATTTAATGTAATCAAAATTAATTACGTATTACGATCGATTAGATTGAAATTTTATTCAGACGTTCCAATGAGTGTGTTTACAGTTAATAGAACAATTTTAAAATGCAGTTCCTAAATTATGTACTAATAAAATTGAATTTTTTTTGGCTACTGAATTACTAACTTAGTAAGTATTTTAAATGAATCAGCTTTGAACAGTAAGTAAACAGAAATTATTTCATAAATTATTTTCTAAATGTTTTTTATTGCATGGTTTTTAAAATTGCTCGCCAAAACTTTAATTTCAAAAGGATTTCCATACTCATTTTATATTTTATTTATATATAAAAAATTATAAATATATGTATAAACCTATAAGTACTTAATGACACAAAAATATTTATTAATACAAAAAATTTATGAAATCCTTGAATGTTCTGTGAGGATAAAAATCGCTATAAATTTAATACCACTGTGAATTTTCAAAAGAACAAAAAAAAACTACAATTTAATTTTAAGAATTAAATATTTATGAATAACTTTGATTCATTTAAAAAACGTTAAGTAATTTGCAAATGGTTCTTTGATTATTTCTGCCAGAAACAATGACGCCGATACGTAAAATGTTTTTATAATTTCCTATGGTGGGTAATTTTAGTACATATTTAAACACACTTTGTTATTATGCTTCAACATAGTTCCTATTTTTTAAAATATTAAAATCAACTTGTATGCCGCCCAAATGAATTACTTTAATTTGATGATACCCTTGTTACTCAAATATTTATGCAATATAAAAATAACTTCGCCGGTTCAGTATAAAATAAAGTTTACTCTTTTAATATAAATTAAGAACTTAAAAAAAACTTTGAATTCAGCAAAAAAATTTAAAAGTTGCCTTAAATTTTCCATGGTGTTTCTTTGCATCATTTTTAATACTCAATTAACCCTCACAAGTACAACTAGAACACGAACACAAAATTTGTCAGTACACAAAAACAATGCAGTTATAATTTAAGAATTTGTCAAAAAAAAATTTTAAAAAAATTTTGATAGTTAATTTACCATGTGATTCTATAACATTTTATGATGCTAAAGTTCAAAGCTTATACATATACATATATTATACACTCTTATCACAACAATATTATTTGCATTTTTAATGTTTATTTGCAAAACAAAAAAAAACATACATACGTTCAAAAGATTTCAACAATGCAAAAATATAGAAAAGCACCTAATTTGAATTTGTAAAACTTTTTGTAAATAAAATAAGCGCTACTGGAATATTTCACTTTAAAAATATAATAAACTAATTTTTGATTTTCCATCGTTAAATTAAGTCACTTGGTTTTACTTATTTAAAATAAGAAGGGGTTATCCCCAAAAAACTACTATTCCATACATTTTGGAAAAAAACACATTTTTTTAAATTTCAATTTAAATTGAAACAAAAATGGCTTATGTTTAATTAAGCAACGTTATCGAATTTACCTTACCTTATCCTGATACAATATAAATTTTGAGTAAATTAAGCAACTTAGATAAATTTGAATACCTACAAGTAATTTTGAATCTTGTCTCTGCGAATAGTTACTACAAAAGTACACGAGCTTTTTATGAGTTAAAAAGGACGCATGGATAAAAATATATAAAAAATCAAGAACGAACGGATGGCAATCTTAAAAACATAATTTTATCTTTTATTTGCACATAAAAAAAATTCATATGGCTTACGAGTTTTAACCTTCAAAGTAGAACTTTTAAACAAACATTATTGTACTTAAATTTTTTTTTTTTTGTTTGACAAACACGACAGAAAAAATCAGGTCACAATAAAATCTTATTAATATAATCGAATTTTTTTCATTTTGAATAGTCTTGTTATACTTAATTTTTAAATATTTTGTTTAAATTTAATAATTTTTTAGGATACTTGAAAATGTGATTTTTGGAAAATAAAAATTTACATATGTTTCATACATTAATACCTCAGATAAATACCGTATGAGATAAGTTGTTGCGTAATACGTCATATCAGAATAAAGTTCCGAAATGGTTAACTACACAAACCTAAGACATAATACTTAAATATTATTTTATGAACAATATTTTTCAAAAAATAATAAAATAAAATAAATAGCTCATTCAGGGGTTCAAGAATTTATTAAGAAGAGTTTAAGAATACATAGATTTTGTATACCAATTTTAGTAAAGCTTAACCAAAAAATATACTACTTTAGGTATACAATACAAATTTAGCTTCGTTGAAGTACAAACATTGTAAAATTCTACTTATATATCACTAACTTTTTTACAAAAGAGAATAAGAATATTTAAGTAGTTAATCAATATTAAGAAATTAATAGTTTTATTTAACAATAAATAATGAAAATAATATTTAGACACTTTAACTTTAACATAATTAGATTGTAAACTGGCAAATAATACCAATTTATCGATTAGGTAAATAAGGTGAATAACAAATAAACAATAAACCTATATTATTATTTATTATTTTTATAATTTTTTTTGGGAATAGAAAATCAAAGCGAAATGTGCCTTTTGTTATTATTTTCAAAATTTTTCTTATTTTATTGAGATTACAACATTGCTCATTATTAGAAGTTTCAGCATATTTAAAGCGAAATGGTTCAAGTTTTGTAAGTAGTAATTTTATATTTTAAATTTTGTTTATATGAAAATTGTACACAAAAATATACTTATCAAATTAAATTGCTATGTTTTAAAAAAATTAAATTTTTAAATCAAATTAAATTGATAAGAATATTATTTTATAATGATAAAATCTAAACTAACAAATGGTACTAAAATATCGGAAATTCTGTGAATTTAAGTAAAAATTTTTGCTGATTTACAAAAGTTGCTTACCATTGTAGATATTTAAAAATTTCAATATATGTGATTAAATATATAGGAATAAAATTTTGAATTTCTTTAAAAATTTTCATTACTCGGCACCTAAGTTATCATATTGAAAAATATATCAATCAGCCCAAATGGAGCTATTTTGTAAAAAAAAATTTATGGGGGTGATGCAACTATTTTACTAGAACATTCCACAAGTAAACATGTTTCCATTTTTCGCATTCCAGTAATATCAACGCATACATAACTATTTTTTGCATTTTTTTAACAAGTTTTATTCTAAGCAATCATCAACTAAACCCTAGTTCCACTTTTATAATTTTTTCATTTGCCTATAAATATGAATTCTTTTCTAATAATTATAAATGTGTTATGTGCTTTGTGCTTTGTTTTTAAAAATTTCTTCAAATTAAAAAAAAAAAAACTTAAAATATTCTCAATTACTTACATACTTAAAAAAACTAGTGGTGCTTTTTTCAATGTTAACTATACCGTTTATTGCACCACCATTTTTAATTGGATACAAATAGTTTACAATTTTTTACCTCAAATAAATTACCAATTCTTGTAAGTATAATATCTGCATTTTTTTAGAATTTTGCAAAAATATTATTAATTGAGATAATTTTAATAAGGTTCATATTATGTAAAAACATAGCTTCGACTTCAACAAAAAAAATATCAAATCAAAAGCATCAACAAATTTTCAAAGTTAATAACAGAAGCAGAGGTCCAAGATGTGCATTTTCCTTTTCTTTTTGTGAAATTGAAAAAAATTCAACCCGAAACTGGTAATTTTCTAATATAAAATTTGGTTACAAAAGTTAAAATATAAAATCAATATTTTGTGTTAGTAATGTAAGCTAAGAAATTCAGTAAAATCAAATGAGATATTACTTTGTCCCATATTATATTGATTCGTATTAAATATAAAACAAATTTCACTGGGTCTTGTTCGTATTTCTTTTTATATTGATTGTAATTATGTAATAATTATTTTAATTATAATTATAGGGACATGAAAAAAAAAATCAATGGTACACAACGTGTTAATGACATTTATAACCTTTTTTTTCTTCTTTATTTGTTAATGACATCATTTTTGCAGAACATTCTTTTATACAACTATATACACAATAATATAGATACATTCATATTCATAATGTTTTTCATTCTTTTATGCCTTTGGTTGTTTTCAAAGATAATAGAATAATTAGCAAATCGAAAAAAAATTATTAAAAATTATAAAGGAATATCAATGTAATATTTTATTGAACATATTATGAATAGTTTTTTGAATACTTATAAAATGTACCTACATATGCAGACACATTATTTGCACGCATAATATTTACGCAAATATACGGTATCATGTATATACATAAATAGAATCAATATTCCTTAAATTATAAATAGAATTAGAGAACATACTTAATATAAATATAAATTCTACTTTAGTATGTGTAGGTATAGGGTTGATTTCGCACCTACCTTTGTACATGTATAGATGCGTATTATAATTAACAAATAATTTAATTATTTTAAAACATAAAAATAATAATATTCATGGTTATAAAAATATTATAATACGAGTAATAATAATAAAGATCATAGCTACTAAAATACAAAATTTGAAATTTGAAAAACATTTTTACTAATATGAAATATTATACAAATTATCATGTCTTATAGTTAATAAGTATAGGTAGTTGTACTCTTTATACTTGTTTCCCTTTTAATTATTTTCATTGGTAAATCGATATTACATTGCAGTAGTAGTTACCTGTCTACATAACTAAGTACCCGTACACTTTTATAAGTTTTATAGATTATTAAGATTATGACAGGTAGGTAAATATCTATATATACCCATATAGATGAATGAAAGCAACGCAAAGCCTAAGAAACAAATAAAATTTAAATGAAATATACTTATGCCGACCAAAGTACGTTATATACTTAATGCCCGCTATATATTTAATATGAATATAGTGGGTATACAAATGAAGGGCACTAATAATAATGATATTGATTTATCCCTTATTGCAAAACGAAACAAAAAAGAGTAAACAATTTGTTAATATTTTAATGCAAGTGCTTCAATATGCAACACAATTTATAAATGAATATTACATATATACATATGTATGTATGTGCATACCTGTCAAGGTAGGTCGGCAAAAAGACGTGAAGTGGAGAAGGTGGGAGTGCCATTATAGTGAATTTTAAATGAATTTAAGGGTAGGTATTTACCTACCTACCCCAACGAATGTATCTATACAGTATATGCATTATAATATTCCACATAACGACAGGTATCTTAGGTAGGTTATCACATATATTTTAATGTTTAAGAATTTTAAGAACATAAACATTGAAAAAAAAATAAAACAAATATTTTAACAAAATGAGCAAATTAGAAAATTATACAAGGAAATTTTTCATTTGTATTTTTTTTTTTGTTTTCTAAATCCTAAAAATAACTTACATAAACATCACTATTGTGCGGTAAATATCCATATACTGTTGTATTATTTTCCCCTTCAGCCATTTTTTTTCTTATTACTCTTTCTTTTTAGATATTTTAAATTTTTATTTAATTATATTGGAAAAATTCGAATTTTATATAAGTAATGTATTATAAAATTAGAAAATATCTCTTTTTTTTTATGAAAGTCCAAATATTCATGTAGATAATGCAGTGTTTATCATAAATTTAGCTATTAAGGTTGATTGATATTAGCATAAGTAGGTATAGGTACAAATTAAATGACAGGTATAGATAACAATTAGAACTAGATAAATTAAGTTAAAAGTGATGTTAATAGACTATTAATTTTAAATACAAATTAGAAATAAGAAATTATAATTTAAATTATTTTCTTCGCTGCCACCACTTTATCTATACTGAAGCAATGCTTATACAAAATTGAAGAAAATCACTGTCACTGAATATTGACCACTATGAAAATTTTTTTAACATTAAATCAGTAAGTATCATAAAAATTTATATTTTTTTTTATTTAGAAAAATATAAAATACATATTAAAATACATTAGTATAAAGATATATTTATAGCTATTGTGTATATATGTTGGAGTGTATTTAAAAATTATTCGTCATTTAATTAAAATTTTTATATTTTTATAATTATCTCTTATACGTGAAATATTTAAATTACATATTTTTTTTCCCGAAATGTTTAATATATTATAAAAAATTTTCTAATTATGATAAAATTATGAATAAATTAAGCATATTTTTCAATCGCTATTCGCACATTCTGCTTCACTTCATTTATTTTTATTATGTATATACATAACATGTATATGTGTGTATGTAGATTTTATAATTCAATTCTGAAGTAATAACATTTTTTTTTGATTTTTTATTCACATTTGTATGATATTTTCTCTTTAATTAAATATAAATTATAATTAAATAAATTTACAAATTATAAAATTTTCCCATTTAAAATAATTTAAAACGACAAAAAAAAAATAAATTTTTTCTTCTAATTTTTTGACGTTGCAAAATTTAACTATCGGGCGTAGCGTAAAAAAAAATTCTGAAAAAAAAATAATAATAATAACCAACAATAAAAATTCCTGGGCTTGACACTAATGACGGATGATTTCAGTGGAATATAAGCAACAACAACAAAAGTCTTGTAGAAAATTTTACTTTTTGTTTTTGTTGTCATAAGTGTTGATTTTGTTTAAAATTATTTTGTTTTTCGTATTTTTCTGTCTTCATTCAAATTGCGTAAACAATTTTCAATGTTTTCATACAAAAAATGACTCATTTCAAAATTATTGTTAAATTTGTAAAATGCTTGCCTATTTAGAAACTTCTTTTTTCTCTGTAAGGCTAAAAAAATTTTCTTTTTTTTCTGTTGTTTTATTAAAAAATTTGATGAAATTTGTTATTTTGACGTTTTCAAATTTTCAAGGAGAAGTAGAAAAAAAAAATGTTCTATGTCCAAATGCAACCATAAACAAAAATTGAACATTTAATTAGAGTAATTTTTGAACAAACTAAATATATAGGTAGTATAATTATAATCAGTATAAACACTCAAAATGTTTTCAATTAATATTTAGGAATAAAAAAAACTTAAATTTCGTTTTCTTATAAAAAACAAATCAGAAATGCTTATATTTTTATTTATATACTTCGCAGGATATTAATCTAAAGACTAAAGAGTTGTTAAATAATTTAGGTAGGTATGTAAGTAGGAACCTACTTACCCACCTAATGTCTTTTAAAAATGACAAAATTTTTAATTAAAATTTAAAAGTTGTGGTAGGTATTACTCTGAATGTGAAATTTTTTAAAAAATTTTGACAAGAATAGATTTTTTAAAGCAATTTGATTAAATTAAAAAATGAATGGACATCTACTTAGCTACCACATGTTCTAGGAACATAAATATTGTACATAGTTTTTTACATTGTTCATTTGAGCAATTTATATACCGACATAGCTAAATCAATATTATTTATGTGTACTACTTATATTATCAAATACCTAAACAACTACCACGAAAGAAATTCAAAATTTATGCATAGCCACACATAATACCTATTTACATACTATGCGAAAAAATCTCATTTCATTGTTTTAACCGTTATTAAAAAAAAATTGGTGATTATATTTTTTTACTGTAAATAATTTAAAACCACTTTAATTTTAATAATTTCAAAATTTATAAATTATTAGTATTTTACGTGATCAATATACAAGTAATCAATACATAAGCACCTACATTATATTTATTAATAATATTATGCATTTTTGAACTATTGTCACAACTTAAAAGGAAAGAAATTAATTTATTGAAAATTAAACAATTTCTTTCAAAAAAGGAATATAATAAATACCTTATAATATTGGCTTTAATTTAAAGCTAGTTAATAAATATTATATGCATGTACTTATCTATGTAGTAATTGATTGGTATTATTTCTTACTTACGATCAGTTTAATATTATAATACATGTGAGTTTTATTTAACCAGTTGGTCTTTGTTTAAATACAAAATATAAACAAAGATGTTAAAATTTTTTAAATTGTGTATAATGTTTTCAAAAAAAATTACGAAAGCAATTAAATTTTTTTATTAATTCAAATAAGTGCCTAACTAAATAGGCAAATATGCTTTCTTCCTAGATTTTTAAAGAATTATACCTATCTTCCTACCTTAATTAAAAATTTCCTTTTGAAGCTTTAAAATGATTTATTTTCGTTTCTTTTTAAAGCTTTAATTAAATTTCAGACATTTTATGCGCACTTAATAACAATTGATTCAATTTAATCTTTCCATTAAAAATAAATAGGTAGGTATCTTAATATAAAATTTTTCTAGATATTTTGAAATTTTTTTAATATTTGAAATTGAATCGATAATTTTTACACTTATCAATAAGATAAGCTTCTTTAGTATTTAATTATGTGTATGTATCTAGTCTAGCCTTATCTTATTTTATTCCCCTTGAAATTACTTAACTATTAATTAAAATTAATAGTTTTTATAGGAATTAAAATAAATAATGGATACATATTTTAATTACATACATGTATACTATATGAATTTTATATAAAAGAAAAAACTTCTTACAGGCCTAGTATCAAATAATGATCTTCTTTGTGTTGATGATTCGGGTGCATTAATTGTTCTATGATGATAAGATGATGCACGTCTGCGGGGTGGTGGCCTTGGAACTTGACTCATTTTGAAATTATTCGACCGTAATAAAAGTATAGCAAATTTTCCTTGTTTAATAACCGGATTTAAGCCTAAATACAAATCTTCCAAAAAAAATATATTCGTATAATACTCTCGTCATAGAACGTTTACATTTTATATTGTAATTTTTAAAGTTTTTGTGCTAATATTTATGTTTTGTGCGGAAATTTTTATTGAAAATTACACGAAACTGCAAAAAAAAACTGCACACAGAGACTTTCAAATTGCACATAACTTTCAAGAAAATTAAATGTCAAAATTTAATCCCTTCTATTACAATTGTCAAAATTTGACAATCGCAATGAAATCCACAGTGCGAATGGAACCTAATTTGAAGTTTAAAATGTATGATAACCATTATGAAAGTTTGTACAGGCGAATCTCCATGTATGCTTCTTCTGTAGATTTTCTTATCTTAATATTTGCTTAAGATTTTTCCTAAATTTCCTTTTCAGAACTATCACAGCGTATATCTAAGTAAATAAAATCTAAGTTGATAAGTGCTGCAATGTGCAAACATGAACTCAAGCTAACGCAACCGAAAGTAGTAAACTCAATCTTTCTTTTCTCAATAATAGAATTTCCTATTTACAAATTTCCAGTAAAAAAAATTCACACTTGAACAAACATATGGTTAGATTGGCAACCATTATTTTAATAAGATAAGTAAAAATTTGCAATGGGCCACAACAGATTTCTTAAAATATTTTAGAAGAACGAAATTTCAAATACAATAAAACTTTCCTTTTTTCATAAAAGTTCAAATAAAAACATTTTATTTTGTAAAACAATTGATTATCGAATTCATCATATAAAAATTTTTTACCGCAAAAAATTTCTTTCGGCACTGAATTATTATAGGAAAAAATATTTTTTGACAAGCAGTCGTTTATGATTCGTACGTTCTTATGTAAACCAGATGACTTAAAACCAAATAGTATTACAGACAAAAACCTTTGCTTCTATTTTAATCTAATTTTATTTGTTTCTAAAAAGGTTTTTCCCTCTTTACTAATCTACATCTAAGTTTTTGCTCTTCTTTAACCTAAAATATCTCTGAAATTTAAAAGCTTGCCCATTTCGAGTTTGGTTTCGCAATTTTCAAACCTTGTCAAGAAGTTAATTAATTTATACGAAGCAGAAAAAAATTAATATTATAGACTTTGAAGTGATGAATGATAGATCATATTCTTGAAAGATAGATCTTGCCTTTTACTTGCCGAAATGAAAGTACATAGGTGATTATAATCTTATCACATTTCATCTGACATCGTTTTTTTATGTGAGAGGGGATATTATTATGTTGCGTATCACCAAAATGTTTAAAAAATAAAATTACCATTTCACTTCGTTCTGGTAGTATTTAAACACACTTTTCAAGGATAGCTGAAAATATTTAATAATTACAAAAATGCTAACAAATTTCAGTTTTATAGATCCTTACGTCGTACTAAAGATTTTGCTTTAATGAGAAAAGACGGAGACAATAACTTTTCACAGAGTTTCATTCCTATTTTTGTTGTGCCTTTACGTTATTTCCAATTTTCGAAATTTCCAAACTGAAGTAAATTGAAGTTTCGGTACATTTTAATTGTCAAATCATTTCAACGAGAAGTAATTTTTCATTTTCTAATTCTGACATTGACATCTATGAAATATTAAAGTTAAATTTTGCTTATCATTGCGTTTGGAAATTTAAATTGATTTTATTTTGTGTAGTTAAACTTTTCACCAATTTTTGTAAGTATTTTTTTTTTTATTAAGTTTCAAAATCACACAAGCTAAGTTATGAAAAGCAAGTTCTATGTAATAAGAGTGTATTATGCATGTATATCTATGTATATTTATAAATTGCTCATAAAAAATTGGTGCGGTGCTATAAATAATATTTTTTTTTGTAGATACATAAATAAAAATAAAATGTTTGGAAGGCAGAGTGGGTTATCTGGAGGATCAGGTGGTAATAGTCTTGTCGAATTTAGAGCTGGGAAAATGAATATGGTTGGTAAAATGGTTCATCCGGATACTAGAAAAGGTTTGGTTTACCTGTCTCAAGCCGATGATGGATTAATCCATTTTTGTTGGAAAGACAGAAATACTGGAAAAATCGAGGATGATTTGATTGTGTTCCCTGATGATTTTGAGTTCAAACGTGTAGAACAATGCAAAACGGGTCGAGTTTATGTTTTAAAATTCAAAACTTCCACTCGAAGATTATTTTTTTGGATGCAAGAACCAAAAACAGATAAAGATGATGAATTTTGTCGCAGGGTTAATGAAACTATGAATAACCCTCCTTCTGCAAATCGCAGCAATAGTAACGACAGTGGAGACTTACAATACATGCTAAATAATATGTCTCAACAACAATTAATGCAGCTTTTTGGTGGAGTGGGTCAAATGGGTGGTTTAAGTTCATTATTAGGCTCTATGAATCGTTCATCAGACTCTTCTCGTTCGACAACAACACCAACATCAAATCGTAGCTCTTCCAATACAAATTCAGCAACAGGTGGAAATAGTAATAGCACTGCAACCCCTACAGTAACTCAAACTCCTGAAAACGCATCATCAGGGGTGAGAACACCCTCAGCCCCAACAAAAAAATTTGGTACCGCTAGAGTTACTTTGCCTGATCTTCAAAATTATCTTTCAGCACTTTCTCCGGAATCTGGTTCTTCTACATCTCGCGCACCGACTGTTGATTTATCAAGTGCAGTTTCAGCAAACGCGGAAGAAGTTAATAAAGTTTTATCAGATCCCGACTGCGTTAAAACCCTAGTAGAACATTTACCTGACATTGGAACTGATGAGCCTATGTCTCAGCAGTTAAAAGATACCCTTTTATCACCGCAATTTCAACAAGCTATGTCAATGTTTTCGAGTGCATTACAATCAGGACAACTTGGGCCTGTTTGTTCGCAGTTCAAATTATCACCAGAAGCAGTAGCAGCTGCAAATACGGGAGATTTGGAACAATTTGTAAAAGCCCTAGAAAAATCTGCCAAAGAAAAGGCAAAAGAAGAGGAAGAACAAAAAAAAGAAGAGGAAAAATAATATCCCTTTTGCTTTTTTAAGTTGTATGCAGTTTCAAATACATTTTGATCTTTACGTTTATCGAGAAATTATCTAATAAATATTTAAGAAAATAAGCTAAAAATTTGTTTTTCTTTTAGATTTGAAAAAAAAACTTATAATATACGAGTTCGAAGAGCGCTAAAATTTATTTTAAATAATTTTGTTCAATTTTCCATAATTTTAACTTGAATTAACTATTTAATTACAGCGCTTAAATTTTTCATATTCTTTATTTTGCCGTTGGAATTAATAAAACAGCAGATTCGAGAAGGTAGTACAAATGTATTTACATATATTACTGGTTTCAGTTACAATAACCTTCCCTTAAAATTAATACAATTTCGAGTTGAAAATTATAATTTTTTTAAGTATAAAACCAGCCAAAATAATTTTTTTAAAATATAATGTCCATAAAAATGTAGATTGTTTTAAAATTTTTGAAAATCAATAAGACTGCAATATTGTACTTATAATGGTCTGCTTTAAACAGCACAAGAAACTATAAAGGTAAAATCAAAGCAAAGAAAAAAAAAGAATTTTTAGATGTACACATTTATAAAAATGATATTTTAACTGCCTTCTACAAAGGCCTCAATTTACAACATTAAATACTTCTACATTTTTCGTTAATTAAAAACCTTATTTTATAATTTTCAGTCATTATTTGTGTGAATTGGTATCACAAATTTATGTCCAAATGGACTTTTGTACTTAATACCAGCGTCGCGATAAAATTTGTCAGGAATTCCTAAATTACACAAATACAATTTACCGCAGGCCATAGATATACTATTTAATGGCAAAATTGGTAAAATTGATGCTTTAATATTAACATCAAGTAAACCATGAACTGGTGGATCAATAGCTAGTATAACAGATCTAAAATATACAAACCAAAGTATATATTACAATACAAGTATTTTTTTTAATTAAACAACTATATTTACCTATTATCCCCTATCCAACGTTTAACAGGAGGAAATAAGCTATTGGAACTTACAGACAGGATAACAAGATCAGATGATGGTAGTTCTGTATTAAAAAAAAAACAAATTAGAAAAATAAATAAAATAAAAGTCATTTAATCTACCAGAAACCGAACTAACGACGGAATTATCAGTTGCTTTGAATAATTCTACTTCTACATTCGAATTTTCTGGCTTTTGATCCTTAATATAAATGCAAACTTTTAAACCATGTGACGCTAACTGTCTACCAGTAGTCGCTGCTATTTCACTTAGCCTGTATGAATATTTTGATGTGTATATAAGTTGTAAGTTAACAGATGTATATCAATTTTATACCTATCATTCTGTGGTTTATCCGAAATAATAGTGATTTTTGGCCATTGATGGCGGTTGTTTGGAGTCAAACGACGAGCCCCACCTAATAATAAAATTGCTAAATCCGCTATTCCTCTGGCCATAATATCCATTTGCCGTTCCCGAGTTAAACCATTTCTTTCAGCAACATCTTGAATTTTATTACGCACGGCTAATGGTATTGTAGGAATGATTAAACCTTCATCTAAATATAAGTAAATTTAAATAAATGAGAGCCAACAAAAATTGTGTTATAATAATAGTATACCGGTAACAAAATCAGTCGAATTTGAGTCCTGTGGATGGGATTGTATTTGCCTAAATTGAATAGGTTCAGGAGTTAAAATGTTTTCATCATGCCGATATTTTTTATTACGTTGCGCTGAAACTGCTTGCCTTACTAAGTCGGGCTTTTGCCCAGCTTCTATCGTATCCCATATAGCTTGTTTATCAAAAAGCGCTAAATTACCTTCAAAATCAAATTCTTCGTCCATTATAGGGTCATCTACTGGGGTACCAAAAGTTTGACTATTGACATCTTGCCTTCTCTGAGATTTATTTACTTTTCGATCCGAAACACTATTTTTCATTGGAGTGGTAGAAATTGAATTATTAGTAGGTAACGGTTTGCCAGCCGTTATTTCTATTGGTTTACTTAAATTACGATCACTCATTGAATTGGTTGGACATGACAATTGATCATTTAAATTGCTAGTCAATGTGGCGCCCATTTTAACTTCTACTTTACTAGGAATCATATTACCAAAAAATTTCGCTACACTTGAACTTGATACTGATGGAATTTGCTTATTATTAGATCTAATGTTATTTATTATTGGCAAAGATGAGGATGATACTTCAGTAGAATTTTGTGTTGGTTGTTGTGAAAAAGATGGTTGAGATGTACCATTCGGTGGTTGTTTATAACTTTTTTCAAAGGTTGGTGATCTTAAATTATTAAAAATATATAGTAAAAAATAAAAATCTGAAATTAATTTACCTTTTCTGCCCATTTGTTAATTTCATATTGGAAACTTTATTAGCCAGAATACTTTCCTGGCTTTTCTTGCTAATGGCTCCGAAATTAGGTTGTTTAACGGGAGTCGGTTTATTAATTACTGTAGGTGCAACGGTACTGGGCGCATTATAGGTCGGAATAAGCTCAATTTTTCGTATATCCGATGCACTTAAATTAAAGAATAGTGGTGTTTTAAACATTGAAAAATATGTGGCGCTTCAACATTTAAAATCATATATCTAACTTAATGAGCGAACATTTCTGTTTTTCAGGTTTAAATATTTGTCTCTTATCATTACCTTAATGTAACTTCAGCATCTTGTTTTCGTAAGGGCACACCATTTCTAAAAGCGCGGACAATAGTTATTTGCTCCATTGATATATCTTTTATAGTACCCTGGAAAACACCTAAAGAACCATCACCTGAAATTATGAAACGAAAAAAAATATCTTACAATCAGTTTTATTTTGTACTACGCAAATATTAATTTTGTCTTACATTGAATTGAGACTGCTTGGCCAATCCAATTTTGATCATCCATGTTCATCTTTATAATAATAAAAAATATTGGAGTAATATATTCCAAAATAATAAACTAATTTTTTAAACCAAAGGAGACAATTTTTTATTGACAAATGCAGTTGTTTTTTAATGAATTTTAAAATATTTCTCTACAACTTTTTTTCTTCACAATGCACTTTCTCCTAAAGTTTTGACATTTCTATACTTCATTAAATTGTTTTCAATTCAATGTTGCCATTATAGTGTAAAATAATGCAAGAATATTTCAAAAGCTAAGTTTATATTGGTGGATTTTTTAACTGATTTTAATTTTAGAATGGTCTGCAACTTGACATAACAAAAATATATTTCTGTCAGACGTAGTCTGCAAGCATAAAAGTTTAATTTACACTTAGCTAGTTAATTATACAATATATATAAATTAACAAAATTTGTATAAATTAATAGCGTTTATTTTTACTTTTAGGCTTTTTTTTATTTGTTTTTTCTCTTAATAATTAAAATAATTAAAATTTAAAAATTTAATTTTGTCAATCGAATTTTTCATTTTACTAATTAGAATTTTTTTTCTTCATTTTTCTAATTAGAAAGATTTTTTTCCTGTTTTTTTTTCATTTCTGCATATAGCTTTAATGCTTCATCACAATAAATTAATCACAAATAATTTTAATATGTAAAAGTTTAACAAATTTTTGAACAATAGTTATATAACCCAACATAACTTTTGTCGTTACTTTCGCGTCGTTCCCACATTTATGTCTGAATAAGTAGATCTCAAATGCATTTATATGCAAAAGAGAAAAATTCAGAATTGTTTTTTTATTTATTTTTATTTTTTATTTTTATTTATGTACATTAAGATAAATTATTGCTTTTCAGTCATAAATAGAACTACTAAATTAAAGAACTTTCAATTAAGATATTGCCTTCTTAAATTGCCACATATATCACGGTAAGTATCATGTTGCCAACGTTTAATGATTTTAAAAATGTTAAAAAATCCCAATTCAATATGCTCTTTATTTTTAGAAATTGAAATTTGTTTGACACAATTTATTACTTTGTTTAGACGTTTATTTTTAAAATAAAATTTATGGATTGCGTTTTTAGCCACACCGTGATATAAATTTTTCTCTTCTGCCGACATGCTTTTCCATTTTTTCGACGTTTCTTTTACAATATCGATAGGAGTTTTTGATAAAACATAATTATTTTTAATATGTTCTACAAAATAATTTATGAAAGGGTTCCTCGTTAAAATATTTTGCGTTGACATGATTTCTTCGTTCTCGTCATCAAAAATTTTGAAAAGTTTATTGATTAACTTATTTTTGCTATAGTAAACATATTTTGAATTGCTTGCCATTAAAATATATGGACGTTTTTCAGTTGCTGTCATTTTTTTCCAATTCATGCCAGCTTCTAAAATTTATGAATATATTATTTTTTTTGTAAGGTTCCTAGAGCAAATATTTTATTTTTAAACTTGCAGTTGGAATCTAATTATACATACATACATACAAATATATTCATATTGCGAAATTTGAAATTCAATTAAAGAAAATTTATAAACGAACTTTTTTAATAGTTTTTGGTCAAACGAAACAGAATTCATCAATCTTTATTTCTTTAGATTCCAATTTTAGCAACAATATTATATACTTTGTAAGTACGTAATGTAATTTTATTGTTCTTTTATATCTCTTATTTATAAATTAAACAACCACCATATTTTCAAATTTTTAAAACATACCCTTTGCAGATTCTAACACATTTCCGCCGCGTTGAGAATAAAATTCTTTAAAATAATTTAAATATGGATTTCTTGAATTTATTTTTTTGGAAACTTTTGAAACCTCAGAATCTTCATTGTGATTTTTTATTTCCTTACATACTTTTTGACTCAGAGGACAATTAAAATTTTTTGATCTAGAAAATTTCATACTAAAAATTTTAACATCAAAATTGAAAATCTAAACTGACATATTGATATAATTCAAAGAAAACATACTTTTTTTTGAATTATATTTGAAAAAAAATTTACGTACAAGGAATATATATTTGTGACGCCGATAGTGCTCTAAATTTTGAAATAAAAAATTCAAAGAGAAACTTTCTTCTTGATTTGTCTACCTTATAGGTGCCTTCTTCAATTTTTACCCAAAGCAATTTCCACAAAGATTTATTTCTCAAAACATTTATTGAATACCGTTAAATGAATAAATAAGAAATGTTCATATGGATAAACAAACTGTAGAAGAGGTCTCCTTTTGTTAAAATGAAATCAAACATTTTTCATATATGATTTTCTTATTACTTAAAAATTGTAACATATTTTGCAATTTTATAAAATTATAAATATTTTTTTTTTATTAACAACATTCATTTGGAAATTTAAGAAAAAAATCAGTATCAGATTTGGAAAATGTTAAAGTTTTTTATTTTTGCAATTTGGGTATTGACTCGTTAACTAATTTTGACAGTACTTTTTGACAGTTGATTTATTGCAAAAGCAGAGCGTCGAAAGACTACTGTTGTTAATCCAGATTTTCGGTGATATTCAAATCTGATTTTTTTTAAGTTAATGTGTGTATTGGGTGGACCAAAAGTATATGAAGAAAATTTCATATGTAAATAGTTTTCTTAAATGAAAAATTTTTATTAGAAATTATTCAGTGTAAATTGAAAATCATGTGAAGAAAGAAATTTTGTTACATAAATCATATTTATTCTTTTTTTTAGTCATATTTATGTATAATTTTTTCATCATTTAACTTTATTTAAAGGTAATCATTCAAATACAATTAATATACAAACATATATTTTATTTCTTTTCTTACTTATTATGAGATAAAATTTTACAAATTTAAAAAAAGAAACATGTATAAATGTTTTTTTTTAAAATTAACTTAAAATTAATGTTTTCATTGTATAATCAATAAAAGTACAAAAATATATACATACATGGGTATATTTAAAGTATACAATTAAAATTTAAAGTTTTTGTTCATATTTTTTTTTTTATTTTAGTACATATACATATGTAATATAGACCTCTTAAAGGTATTTTTATTTAACTGATTACATAAATATATGAAATAATTATTTTAACAAAATATTGTAAAAATATTCAGATTCTATTGCGTTATTACAAAAAATAAAAAATATTGCTATACGATCCAAAATTATTTAAATTTTTGAAAATTAAATATCGTTATTGCAACACGATATACGACGCTTTGAATTCTATCTATCTTTGATAGATTTAATAGAATGATTCTTGATATATTGTATCAGTCCCCACCCTATACGTACTCTATTTTTTTTATAAAAATATGTATTTATTTACACCGTGAAAAATCTACTTTTTTGCGCTTATGTGTTGGTTCTGTCGCAAAGATGATACTAATTTCGTAATTTGAATTTGTAATTATGTATGTATGTAGGTAATTTACTGAGAAATGAAGATTACTTTATTTTATAACTTTTTTAATTTTTCAATATGAATTTTCATTGAATACTTAATTTAAATCTGTTTAGATTTTTTTAGTTCAAATATTAAAAGCTCGTCTTCTATTTCTTGTTTTAAATAAAATGTTCTGAAAGCAGTATAATAATGTACTAATTTTCAATATGTAGTTACAAAAAATTATGCATAATAATGTAGTAAGTTATAGAAGAATTATATTTGAAGGCTGAAACAAGACTTCATTTGCATATAATTTTCAAAGAAATCTTATCGATTTAATTATCAGTTATCATATTTATACACATTAATATTAATGTATATGTATATACACATTAATATGCGCATTTATAATAATTTTGCCAAATTAAAGACGTTATCCGAATTCTTTTAGAATACCAACTTTCTAGAGTATAGGTACACAATATATAAATTAATATTTTTTAGTTTTATCTCTTAATTTATGTGTACCTATTACTAAAAATTTACGTTTTACAATTTATTTTTAGAATTTTCTTTTTAATTATTTAGTATTGGAAATACATAGGAAGTACATACACTATTAATTACTTTAAAAAAATAATAGAAATAAAATTTTAAATCTAAAATTATATAGTCATTTTTTTTTACTCTATATTAAATTTTATATAATTCAGATAAATTTTTTTAAAAGCTTTTAACCAATTTTAGGAATCTTACAACAATTATGTATGTGTGTCCATTTGTATGACTAAAATATTACAATTAGTATATTAATGTAAAAATAAAAACTTTTTACTTATTTATAGTAACATTTAAATTTTATACTATTACATTTATCGTATATAACAATTTGAATGGAGTCTTGACTAAAAAATACATTTTACATTCATTTCTTACTAATCAAGTTTATTTTTTTTTATATATAGTCACTCATTCATTTTTGATTATAGCAAATTTTGCTTATATACAAATACAAATTTTAAAATAAGGTGTAACAATTCTTACTATACAATTGTTTTTATAAACCTGATTGCAAATTAATTTAATAATGAAATTTTTAAAAAATCAGATTAGAAATATAAAAAGAACCAAATATGTTTTAATATTTTATTTTCAAATAGTTGCCTAATATTTAAAATAATAATAATAAAAAAAAATTTAAAACTTGAAATAATTTAAATTTTAAAACTATGACTTGCACTATTTATAACAGGGTAAAAAAAAAAGTATTTCCGACTCGACTGTTATTTCCAATAAATCCCATTTCTAAAATTAAATCTCCATCATTGAACAAGTTTTAAAATTTGCTGTACCAATCCAAAACGTTGTTAAGTAATGTCAACTAATACACATTGTATCAAATAATTTCTTCCTCAAAAATTTTAATAAACTTCTTGGAAAATGTAGGCTGTTTCCAAAACTATTCGCAATTTGTTTTCAAATTCCAAAAATAATCGCACTTTAACACTCAAAAAACTATATAGAGATTTCAATATGAAAATCTCATATCTTTTTTTTGGTGCATATGGAAAATTATCCATAGAATCCAATTGGAAATGCGTACTATCAATTTGATCAATCAGGATTTTATGTCCTACAAAGATAATAGGATTTCTAATAACATATAGTGAAATTTACTAATTTATCTCAAATATTAAATATAAAAGAATAATGAAATTTAATTGCATAAAATTTGACTAAAAACAATGTACCTGATTTTAAAATTTTTCATTTGAAATACTTAAATTATATAGCTTAAATCATAATATTCTTATTTAATAAAATTTAATTTATAAAAATTTTTATTAAGAATTTTAAAATTAGACATAAAAACAATATTAATAAATTTATTTATTATTTTTAAAATTTACAAATTACTGTATAAATTTTTGTTTTTATTTTAATGTTATTTTGAGAAATTGCACCAAAAATTTTAATTAAATAATTATTTTGATTTTTTTTTTATTACATAATGCACAAATTCAAAAAGAAATTATCTAGTTACATATATAATATTGTAAATTTAAAAATTATGGCAAATTATTCTAACTTAATTTTGTTTTTAAAATCTATTTATGTATAATATATTTTTAATATTATTTAAATGAAATTTTCAAAACATATAAGGTCTAAACCTTAAAATAGTTTGTGAATCCGAATGTTTAAAATACTACTATAAGATTTTAATTCAAATCAATATTTTGATTTAACATAATTTCTAACTACCACAGATATGTTTCTTAAAAAAAAAATATTGCTAACAAAAATAATAATAATAAAAAAGGTTATACAAAATGCATAATGTATAAGAAATTTTAAAACTAAAATATTATACAATTAAATTATAATTAACATAACAAATTTCAACCTAATTTTAACAAAAAAAAAATATTTTGAAAAAATTCATTCTAATGTTTAGCTTTATTCTCATACTACAGCAAACCGAAGAATAAAAAATATAATGAAAAAAATTGTTTTCCAAGTTGATAAAAAATAAATCTTACAGAGCATATCGCTAAAATTAAGCAAAAAAAAATTTGAATCAATGAAAAATTTTTAAGCATTTTAAGTATCCGGACATTTATGTAATTTTTTCAGATAAATAATTTTTCCTTTTAATTAAAATACCAATACTTTAGAATTTTGTGATATTGAATATGCAATTTTTTCTTAAAAACTTAGAAACAATTTTCTTCTCTATTTTTTAATTCTGACATCAGAATAAATTTTGATATAAATAGAAAAATCAATTAAAAGTATTAAAAAATTTTTCCAAAAATTTTAATTATTTTTTACTATTTTTTTAAACTTAATCTGATTTAAATTTTAATAATGTGTGTATTTTGGTATTTAACTGGTATTTTTATTTTTTATTTTTTCTTTTTTTTTGGTCATCTTACAAATATTCTTTCTATTAATTCTACATAATTTTTTCTTTATAATATTAATTTTGTTTTGAAATTTTATATGAGATTAATATTGTGTATATGTGAATGTACACATTTTAGCATAAGATTTTGTTAAAATTTTGATTAGTCCGGATTTCTATTTTTTTCCTGTTTGTATGCATGTTTGTGTTAAACGGAAGAATCAGGTTTATTGATTGGTTTTTCAAATTCAGTCTCTATTGATGATGCATCTGTTGCATCTGATGGTGCAATATGGATTCGATGAGCTTTACTCCATACAACAACATCCATAATAAATGCAATAAACATTATACCAGATGTAATACCTGTAAATTAAAACAAAAATTACTTTTTTAATTTGCAAAATTTTTTAAAATATTTATGACTGTAATTTTGACATACTTAAACATGTCGCATTGTCAAAAGAATAAAAAGACAGTGGATTTTCATGTACATATATTGCAGAGAGCACATTTTGTAAATATTTTAAATTATTGGCCATTTACTAGACTGACAACTAAAAAATTTACCCCATAAAAATTTATTTTATATAAAAATATTTGGCAGAAATTAATGTTATTTTTCTTACTGTTTGTTGTTACTTTACGTATGTTTCTGTTTTTTTTTTAACTTTTTACGCTTTGATAAACCAAGCAACGGAAAATAAAACTCATTATAAATTCGAAATTCGTCTTGTGGTACTTATTATAAAAATAATGTATACACACACTGACATTTCGCAAATATTACCCAATATCTTTTTTTTTTAATTTTTTGGGTGGCGCTGTTGTTTTTTCAAATTGTACTATAAGTATGCGTTAAGCACGTTATTTTAATTTTATTATTTTTTTTATTTTTAAATAGCATATTGAGAATGTTGAATGGCATATTGAGAAAATTTGATCAAAAGGAAATTTGTGAGCTTATTGTCAGGTACATAATTTGTACATTCTTTTTATTTTATTATTCTGTAAAACAAATGTATTTCAACCCATTTACAATACAAAAAATATTTTGCAACTGTTAGTCGTAAATTAGTCAATAATTAATCATTGATTAAATGTTTTTTTAAATTAAAATCAAAATTTTTTCTGTTCATATTTAATATATTTTATATAATCTTATGCTATTTCGTTGATCTATTAATTTCATTTTAGTTAATTGAATATTTAACACATTTTTTGAATATAAATGGCAAAACAACTACATTAACTTTAAGTACTTCACTTGAAAACAGTTTAAGAGTTAATAAACGAAAACAATGTATTGAAGAAGAAAAAATGTTTGCGTCTACCTGCTTTTCTCTGGACATGTTTTTGAGTTGTAAATTTTTGTATATTATCTTATTATTGTATTTGAATCTGAGGTATAACTATTTAGAAACACTTATTGGAGTCATTAGACTTATAACGTAGTCATTTCTCTTTCGGCTAGGTTTTGAAAGATTATTTCAAATTTAAAACATTTATTATTTTGCACATTTTTAGGGGCTACGAGTCAGAAACAAGGAGATATTAATTAACTTTCTGAAAACGATTAATTTCTGAAAATTCAAAAATTTTATTTTATTTATTTGGATAATTACCGCTTTCAAAACAATATACAATTTAACAAGTTTACCAAATAGTTATAAAAATATTTTTTTTAGTTCATAAGCGATTACAAAGTAGATGTAAAATATTTTAGGCAAAAATATTTACAATCTTATTATTACCAAAGAACGTGCTATTATTTTCATTTTTTTTATTATTTTGTTTACATAACCACAACTGAAACAATACACGTTTTTCACTTTTTAATACTTTAATCTCAATTTTAATAACTTATGCAACTGTTTTTTTATGAATATATTTATTAAGTGCCATCCTAAATACATATATTTTTTTATTGGTAACTGCGCAATAAAATATCCTTGAGATTTTTATTTAAAATAAAATAAATAAGAGAAATAAAGAAATTGTGAATTTGCATTTGATCCATTTCGAAATAGAAGCGAAGATCGAAATCAAAAATAGGAAACAAAAAAAAATAAAATATTTAATAATCAATTTGAAATTTTAATTTAAATTTATATGTAAAATTTATTCATCTTTAGTGATTATATAAATATATTTAAGAAATATTTTGAACTTAAAATTTATTCCTAAGACGACTATTTTAATCGGAAACAAAAATCTTCAAATTAATTCATAAAAAGAATTTTTTGCTTAATGGGCCTTAAACTAATTCATAAAGATTATTTTAAAAAAATGTACATATATATACAATAGCCTTGTATTTTGGTATAATATTATTTGATATATTAAAATTTATAAAATTTTCAATACACATATGTATGTATTTCGGAATTTTATTTAGTGAAAAAGAGAGCTTTAATGCGCTAAAGCCCTAATTCGCTCAGAATTTTTCATAAAATTCGGTTATTTTGTTTTGGCAGAAAACATGTTTACATAACATTTTTAGAATTTTTAAAAAATTATTGAGTAAAAACGCAGAGTTCAATTACTAATTACAAAATATGAGAAATTTCATTAGAAAATATACATAATTAAAAAAATAATAATTTTAATTTTAAAATTGACTAAACAAACGACTAAAAGGGGTCCATTCTATGCCACTAATTTTTTCAAATTTATAAAACTTGATTTTCCAGAAAATTTTTACATATTTATTTCTAATAGATTTAAATTTTTCAAAAATTTATAACAAAAATTCATGTTAATTAAGTATACTTTGAATAAATGAGTAAGGAAACATTTTAACTCGTCTGAATTAAATTAGGGCAGTCTAAAACATTTTTTGTATTAATATACGCAAATATGATTGGGCATAATAGATCTTTTAGGTCGCATGGTTCATGTTAAATTTGATTAATTTATCAATTAGAATTTTCAAATTAATTCATCTTAAAATATTACACGCCTCATTGATTGCATCAATATAACTGTTAAGTATAAGCTTAATAATTATTTTATCATGTAATTTAATGAACTGAAAATGCATTAAAATTTTTATTTATCCATGAAACTTACCCAAAAAGTAATGGCGAAAGTTATCAACATCATATAATGAACAAGCACCATGTTTACCACAAACTGTTGTCCATACAAGACATGCTGAATCTACAACGGCTCCATATATTATTGGACAAGGAACAGTACCAAATAAGCCAATCGCAGATTGTATTACTCCCATTGCCATAGCTTTATCTATAAATCATATGAAATGTAAAAGGTATGCAACATAAGAGAAATCTATTATAACAATTGCATACCTTTCGGATCTGTACATCTCATTATAACAAGCATACCACCAACTTCAGATGTCGAATGTATAAATACACAAAATGCAAATATACAAATAAATATAATAAAATTTTTGCAGTTAGTATCACAGTATCCTCCAACAGCTTCGAAATCTGTACCATTGATATTATATTTTTCGAAACCTAGAATTTTATACTAATAAGCGCTTCTAATTACAATTTAATTAATTTTTCTTTTTAAATATAAGTTGTCTTAGTTCAGTAAAGCCCGTATTTTTAGTTAGATCATAATTTTGTTTCGGTTAAATTTAATAAAATATAATTTTTGTTCTTACCATTTGGAATACATTTGCAATCTGTATAATATGTTTTATTACTATTCGAATTAGCTACACTACAACCAGCATGGCACGAAGAAAAATATGTTTTACCATCAACACCACATATTGGTGAAAATTTTTTAAAATCACAGTCACACGTAACATCACAACTTGGTAAGAATGTTGGTGTTGATCTAAATGGAATATATGAAATTTGAAAATTATTACAAAATTGTTATTAAAATTATTCACAAAAGTAACATTTCATATAATAGCACTTACGTTTCATGCTCAATCGTATATTTTGATAACCCAGCGAAGTCATCAATATTGCACCCAACAAACATTAATATTGCAATACCAGCCGAATACATTAACGCAGTAAATGCAATCCACGCAGCAACTGATTTTGCTGATGGATTAATTTTTAATATTAATATACCAGAAATTATAATACCAAAGCCCATAACTAAAATTCCACCAAATGCAGTTATTAAATTTGCATCAGCTGCTGGCAATCTAAATTGTGTTTCTAAATATTTTGGCAAAAATGTATATAAACCAGCTATTGGCAGTATATGAAATACAGATGAGGCAGTTCGAAACATTAGTATACTATTACCCAGTTGCCTTTTAAGAGTTTTTGGAAAATCTGATGGAGAGAAAAACATAATCAAAATGAAAATATTATTTTAAAAATTTTAAAAATCACTACATTACCTTTGAGTTTAGGTTTCTCTTCAACTATTATCTCTTGTACTTTATTGATATCAACATTACTTGATTCTGGTGAATTTGTCTTTGAACGTTTACCTTGTAATTCTTTTGGAAAACTAAACATTGCAATCGAAGCCAATATCATTATAGTACCTATTAAAACAGGTCCCAACCACCAAGCACTTATCCATCTTGGATCATTTGTACTAAAATCAGGTGTTGACAAATCAACGTAAATTCGTGTGCAAAATGATCCAACAATAAAACCAGTTGCTGGTCCAAGTATTCGTACTCCAATAGTTATTGCTATAGTTTTATAGAGCAAAATAAAAAAGTTAAAATTTTTTTTTTTAATTTTTATTTTAAAATAATCTAGACATGGAACGATGATTGCATATTTTGATGAATGTTGATGGTTCCTTTTATTAAAATTTTTTAAAAATAAAGAAATTTTTTAACAAAACATATTTTAGCATTTAAAGAAACATGATTTTTACCTAAATAAATTGGTGATTCTTTACTAGCAACATTATCATCAATATATGGTATCCCTAATGTTGATACAGCTGTTTGTCCAATACCAGCACTTAATAAACTAAAAAAGAATATGCACATAACAATTATTGTTATTTTTGAGTGAGAATCTTGTTCTTCTTTTAAATGTTGCATACATTCATCTTCATTAATATTTCTTTGAGTTGAATTGAAAAATATGCTATTCGTTAAATTATCACCAATAATTGTTGAATATGTTGGATTTAAACATAAATTTAAATCAATATTATTCTTATTATTTAAACTATTTTTATCACCATTAAATAAATTATTTGATTGCATTAATTGACTACCAAATATAAAATGTGGTAATGAACATGCGAATGCCGCCAATGCAAACAATACCATACCACATGCAATCCATCTGGGCCGATGACCTCTACCAGCATAATATGTTAAAAGTAAAGCTGTACTTATTTGGCCTAATTCACTAGCACTTAATAGCATACCAGTTGTTCTCGATTTTATTTGAAATAATTTTTCAATTGTTGTTATTATGCTAACAAAATATGTTGAGAACATACCAATACATACCCATGCTAATAAAAATACAACCATAAACATGTGTGTTGATGCCAGATTTTTAGCCCATTTTGGATTACAACCAAATATACCACATGATGATGATGATAAATTACTTTTATTATCACTATCATCTTCATAATTATTATCGGTATAATCGGAAATATTCGATATTTTGTTAAATTTATTATTACTACATGTACATGTATCGGGAATATCAACATCTTCATCGTCATTATAATTTGTTGTTTTCGTTTTATATAATATTGGATCTGTTAAAGTATCATTTTCATTTAATAATTTATCTACACCTAATGCATTCTTTCCATTAGTTAAAGATCCATTATTATTATGTTGATGATGATGATTATGGTGATGATGATGGAGATTATCTTTATGACGATAATGATGATTATTCCTATGGAGATTATTTTTTAAATTATTTTTTTCGACTGTGTCATTTATCCATTCAACATTATCTCGACCTCCGCAATTGCCTCCTCCTCCTCCTCCTCCACTTCCATTCATTCCATTATTTCGATGTTCTCTTTGTTCGTTATATATGACAGGTGAATTAATATTTGGCAACGAATCATGTAATGGTAATGTATTTGTTTTATTATTAGTTGTTATATTATTTTTTAATGTATTATCATCACTATCAAAATCATCATTATAATCATTATTATGATGATTTGTATTTGTTGTGTGGTTCTCTTTTCCCAAAAGAGGTGATAAAACGTTTGTTGCTGAATCACGCCTCTCCAATTGGCCATGATTATTTTGCTGTTGGTGCAAATAATTATCTGTTGAATTTAAATTATTTTCAATATCTAAATTAAAATAAACAAAAATAAATAATTGAAATAATTAATTAAATTTCAATAAAAGTAGTATTGAATTATTGAAAAATTTACCTTTATTATTGTTATTATAATAGATTTTACCATTATTTGTACTACCGTTCGGAGTTTTTGGTAATATTTTTATTGAACCATTTGTCAAATGATGATGATGACCATTTTGTTTTGTTGCATTTCGATTTTCATCTGTTTCACTATTGTATCGATCATTTTCATCCAAATCATTCGTAATATTTATATTATTTGTTTCATGTGCATTCGACGAATTCAACCATTTTGCCTTTGCAGCACTATTTGATGTTATCTTATTTAATGGATAACTATTATTACTATTATAGATATTATTATGATTATTATGATTATTCATAGCTAAATCTAATATGACTGGAACTGAGGTAGACGTTGACTTTGACTTATACTCTTGTCCCTCATCTTCGGGACTCATGATTTGAAATGTTCAAAGATGGTTGTTTTAATGATGCTTTCTCTCTCTTTTTCGAATTAATGGAATGTTTAAAATTAGAAGAACTGTAAAGTGAAAAAAAAATGTGATTCAGTAACATTCATAAAATGCTATAAAAATAACAGAAAAAAACATTAAGGGGATAAAATAAATAATTTTCTTTAAATAAATTTAAAAGTTAATTTTTTTAAGAGCGAGCAAAAATAAAACGAAGGTTTCTTTTTAAAGTAATTTTAGGTTTCCAGAAGAGTACAACAAAATAAGGAAACTTTTTCAAAAACGAGAGAACACTGGAAGGTAATGCAGCAACATTTATTAATTTTAATTAATTGTAAAAAAAGTAATTAAATTTTTTCATTTTAAAAATAAACAAAAAAATTTGATCTATTTTACACAATATAAATTTTAAAGAAATTTTTTTAAAACGCCAGTTTTATTGTTAGTTTATAAGATGTGTACATACTGCATTAAGTTACTGTATTTGTGTGTACACTGTTCTCAGCAAGTGCATTATTTGATTTATTAATTGCAGGCTTAGCTAATTTCAAGCAAAAAAAATTTTAATTTTTCTCTTTGTATTTTATTTCGTCGTTCATTCATACAATATTCAAAAACGTTCCAATACAGTCCAGAATCTTAAAAAAAATTTGAAATTTTGAAAATCTGTTGTAACTATGTAATTTCAAAATTTTAATCCCTAGGAGCATTAATTGAATTGTAAACTAAATTGATAAAATTTTTATTCAATTAAATTAAAAATTATAATGCAAAATTTTATCGAGCGTTATCCTTTATTTTTTAACCTTGACAATTTGAATAAAAAAAATATTCCATTTAAATTTATTTATAAGCATATTAGAAAATTGTAATACGGTAAAAAATTTATTTTGTAGTTGGAATGATTGCTTTAATTTATTTTAGGTCAATTACCTTTTACTACAATACACAAATTTATTTGTTATAATCAAAATATGCAAAAGCCAAATGTACAATATTTTTATTTTCTTAAATTGTCAAAAAAAATCTAATAACAAAACACAAAATTTTATTTACACTCAAAAAAATGAGCAATATCGAAAGTCAAAACAATAAACAATTTTTACTTTCTACATTTTTTAAGTATAAACCTTATAACAATTTGACAAAACTTAACAAGAACAAAAATTATGAAAAGAAATTTCTATAGCACTCAACAAAAAAAAAAAAGTAATAATAGCGAAAATTCATTTTTAAAATGAATTTAAATTAAATTAAATTGAATTGCTTTTCAAAGATATTTTTATAAACACGTTCGGCGAGAACTTTACAATGTCTAAAAAACCAAAAAAGAAAAAAATAATAACAATACAAAAGTATAAGAAACAGAAAAGCCCAAAAAGAAAAGTCGTTCAAGTTCAATGTTAAGGTCACTTTTGTACAATTTAGTTTAAAAAAATATTTTTTTTTGTCAACCAACAAAAAATCCAGTTCTCATTTTGTTGTGTTTTGTTATTGTTTCTTCTTATTTTTTTTTCAATTTTTTCATGTGTTCTTGTTATATAAGTTTTAGTTGATGACTATAGAATTAAATACAAAAGTACATATATATACAGTGACAGTATAATATAAATGACACACACTTAAATGAATTTCACACTTAACTGCACAAAAACTTATTTTTTGAGTTGTTCTTGTTAAAAGAAATTTACGAAATTTTAAGTTTAAATGGAAATTCGGATAATGGCACAAGATGGTTATTTGTTTATATTTTTACGTTACATATGTCATTCTATATATAATGTTATTCGGATAAGTGCACAACCTTTATTTGCTCATAAGTGCTTAAACTTAATTAAGCGATACATGTTGCTACAAAATAACTGGACTACAAAGACAAAACAACATAACTACGTACGAGTAGAGCATATTGGTTAAATTTAGTTTTAAAAAATTGTCAGGACAAAAAAAACTGAAAATTAACTCTAAACGTTCTACTGAAATTGTGCAAGTTATAAAAAAACTAGCTCAATTTGGAATATCCAGACAGCATATTCAATTGAATTATGGATGGCATAAAGTTATTATGAATAATTTTGTAAAATTTTTGAGTCCTCTAACTATTAAGATAGAAACCTTAATTATTTTTCGAATTAACACGAAATTTTCAAACATCCGGCGAAATTCTTTTAACCGGATAACACACTTTAAACACAAATGTACCTTACCGGATCGATGTTCAATTAATTATGTTTTACTGTATATAAAACAAAATAATGTTTAAGTATTGGTTAATTTTATAATTTGTAAAGATTTTTGCACAGTTCATTAAAGAAAAAACACAAGCACATACAATATTTTCATTATTTAAGTAAGTATTTCTTCTAAAAATATTTTAGTACATAAATAAAAAATAAAGTCTTAATTCGAATTGCAATTATTAATTTACAGTAACTATATAATTTCAGTTACACTACTTTATCAAATTTTAATTATCGGACTACACTAATATATCAAAAAAAGTATTCTTAGCAAAAAATACTTTTAAAATCTCTGGTAACATAGAGCAAAAGTTCCCTTGAATTTGTTTCCTTATTTTTCAATAAAATTAATAAGAATTAAATGCAGGAATTTCAACAGTTCAATTTCGATTAGGACCACATCTTCCTTTAAGATGAATGTCTCCTTGAGAATGTAAAAACATTTTTAAAAATTTGACTTCATTTTCTTTTTGGTTTAAATTTCTAGATCATAACTAGACAGACAGACGGCAAACATTTTACAAAAACTTTTTTTTAATTCTGTTTTATTTTTTTTTTAAATATTAACCATGTTTTTGTTTCATTATGCTGATTTTGTTGTTTTGTAAATGCGTTAATAATTTACGCGTTTTCAATTTTAAATTTTGAAATGAAGCAATATCACACGCTTTTATTCATTTTAAGTATAAAAATAACTCAATTCTTTTTTGGAATTATATTAGTTTTTTTAGTATAAGTACACAGTGTATCATTTTAATACATACACAATATAAAAGTATTTTAAATATTATTGACATGGAAATTAAACATAAAACTCTCAATATCAAATGGGTGTAAAAATTAAAAACAACGTTTTAATAGAAAACTGCATAAACTACAGTTTTTACGATAATAATTATTATCATAAAAATTCCTATATTAGATGAGAACAAATCTTAATAATTCTTTTGTTGATACCTTAAGGTTGAATGTAAAATAATTATTATTACTATCTGTATGTTATAAATAAATTTGGGTCAACCCAATTGTTTGTAAAGTAGTAGCTTTCTCTTGAACAAGATAAAATACATTTTTAAAACGCAATCGTCTACTTTAATTATTTCATTGATACCATAATTAAAAGGCATAGTATGAAAAAAAGTTGCATACTTTTAGGAGCAGACCAAATCTAAACAAAAACTTTGTTCTGGCGAAATATAGCATTCATTAATTTGTATAAAATGTATTTCCGGGTTTAAAACAATGTTTAGGGTTTCGATACGGTAAATTGGTAAAAAACGGTATTTGAAGTATTTTGAGGGGAAATTTTTCTATAAACGTGTAATACAGGCTTTTAAAAAGTAACATTTTGTTGGTTTTTGGTAAAATTTCCTAAAAGTGGACTTTTTTAATAAGTAATTACAAAAAGAATTTCCAACGAAGAAGAGATTTTTCAGATAATTGAAGTATGACTTTATGGCAATACTTCAAATGGCAATACTACAAATTAATAAATACGATTTTTAAAATTCTTTACTTAAACTTCTGATTTTTTCAACAGAATTAAATGTTACGATACACCGTATGTACACAAACTTACATAATATTATATATTTTTTTATATACATATATGTATGTTTATACAATTACACGTGTTTGAACTAATATACATAAATATGTAATATTGAATACAAATGAAATTCATGTCTCGAAAATATGATGATGAAAACACAAAAACAACAAGATAAATATTTTGTGGTCAAAATTCAATATTATTTTATAAAATAAAAAGAGATAGAAATATAAAGAGCTTTATATGAAAGAAAAAAAATAAAAACGATAAAAAAAAATTTGCCATGTTCATTTGACAGACTGGAATGAATACTGATGATTATTTCATAAAATTTAAAAATTTAACATTTTCTATTAAGTTTAAGTTTGTTTTCTTTTCTGAAATCAAATTACATGTACAAAAGAACAAAATTGAATATGTGCGTAGGCTATTAAAATTTAAGGATGTGCGAATTATAATGGCAAATTATACTATAACTGTATATGTAATGCATCTATGTAGGCAAATTTTTGGTTAATAGTTTTGTTTTTAACGGAAATGTCGATTTAAAATGATAAAAATCAAATAAAAAATGAATTACTAAAGTAAAATTTAATACTTTTTTTATATTTTGTAATTTAAATTAATGCTATTAAAAATACAAAGATAAAATATATCTGCTAATTCAGTACTGCGCGTACTTAAGTATACTTAGATAAGTTCTTACATATATTTTTTGTTTAAATTAAGTATATACTCAGCAAAACTGTATTAGATTTTACAAATTTATTAAATTCAGAATTTTCGATCAACTTTGAGGTTTCAAACTTCAAAGCGAAAAATTAAAAAAAAAAAGCAAAATATTTACAATTAATAATAATCAAAAAATATTCAATCAAAAAATCTTTTGCAATTTAAATTTAATAATTTATTTTATAATTTGCAACAATTTAAGTATTTAAAAATTGAAATTTTAAACTTAAATATGAAAAATTTAATTATTTCGAAAAAAAAAACAAAATATTATTAAATGATGGTGTCATCTAGTGGTGTGATTCTATAATAAACATAAAATTTAAATATAAATATAAATGTCAATCATAGTTAATTTTAATAAAAATTTTATTTAAATAGAAAATATGATGACCAACATAAAAAATTAATTCGAATATAATGATTGCCCAGTTAAAATTTTATTAATATTTTTATTACCTCTCATATTTTTTTTAATAATAAATTTGAAACATTGTTGTAACTCTTATAATATTTATACGAAGAGAATATTATTTTATTTAAT